AAAAAAAGTCCATTGAGCACAATCCCGCCACGCACTTAAAGCCAGAGCTCAGCGGCGCCGCCGCCGCCGCAGCAGCAGCAACACGCCATACCAATACCATACTATCCACCCACACTAGTACCAGACCCAACGCCGACAATGCAAGCGTCCCGACCGGGTAGTCAACGGAGGCCATTGAACGCAAGCGCAAGCGCAAATGAAGACTCAGCAGTGAAAAAACCCCACGCAACGCAACGCAGGCAGATTATATTACAGAGAAAAAGAGAAAAACGAGAAAAAGAAGCCAATGCCTTGCAAAAACCCTGAATCCGTCCTTGAATAGTTTCCCGGCTTGCCCCGTCCTGTGTGCGGGACGATGGGACTGATATCAAATACTTAACGCCCGCGCGCCGTTGCTTCGTGTGCTGTGTGTTGTTTCGCCCGTGCTGGAGAAGAGTGGCCGCCTCTACGCCCTGTGCGTGTGTTATGTCTCCCCCCGCCCGTGTGCTTAGATAGGTATATGTCCTTCTACGCCCAATGTCCCCATTGCCCCTGCCTGCTCCTGTAGCCGTCATCACCATTGGACGGCTTCACACAAACTCCCAAGAACCGATGTTCCTTCCCTCCCAGTTATGGCTTGGTATCTTAATCCAAATCTCGCTTTCAGCACCAAAAGACCTCGCACGCTACCACAGCTCGTCCGCGCACCCGCGCCTATGCGAAAACCGCCGAAAGCCTGCTCCGCGTCCTGCCGCCCCTTCTCGGCGTGCTCAGTCCCTCGCTCTCCGTCCTCGTCCTCTCCGCCTCGCTTATGCTGCTCGCCCGCCGCTTCGCCAGCTCCTCCTGCAATGTCTTCTTGCCTTTCCGTATCTCCCGTTCCTCGTCCGGAGGGATGAAGCGGTTGATGATGCGGTGGTCCATCACCCGTTCCTCGGAATCGTACTTGCCCTCCTTGTCCGTTTTCGGCCACGTGTACCCGTACAGCTTGCTGTGCCGCTCGCACCGCGGACATGCCGCCCGCGTGAGGTAGGCCTCTTCTTGGACGAAGTCTGCGTCGCATGTTCGGCAGACGACCCATCGGCTGTACTTTGCGGCTAGGAGAAGCGGGGTTAGCGTGTAGTCGCCTGGATGCCGCTGGTAGGCATCTTCTGGCTCCGTCGATTCAATCGTGGGGATCGGAACGGGAGGCGGGTGTGCGGCGTGCGACTGCGAGCGGGTCCGTGGAGGCGTTTTTAACCGTTTTTGCCGCACAAGTTGCTGGTTGGCATCGTCGAAGGCGACACTGTCGGAGAGCTCGGAAAGCGCGGATTCTGAGGATTCTCTGCGTGGATGGGTGCCGGAGTTGGTGACCTGGACCTCGGACGCATCTACTTTGACTTCAATGGGAGGCTGTGCGGCTTCGGAAATGCCATTCACAGGTCGAGAGGTTCCAATATCAGCAGTCTTCAGCTGCCTAACCGGATGTATCTTTGGCGAAACTTCCTCGTCAACGGAGGTGGCTGCAGTCGATTGTGTAGAAGGTTGAGACGCATCACTGAGTGAGCCTGGCGAACTCGCGCTAAAACTTTCAGGTGCGGCCAATACCGTAGCAAACCAAGAGTTGCGCTGCTGAATCCGCATCGCCCTTAATTTGGCGGACGCAGTGGTAGGCCGTTGCTCTTCCTCAATAGTCGATGCCGGGGCCTCCTGGCTCACTTGCGAGTCTGTACGCTCCATCTTGATCTGTGGAATGCTGTTTTTTCGTGGCTTCTTTGACTGCGATTTAGGCGAATCATGCGGTTGCGAAGCGTTCGTTTTCCTCCTTTTCCGCCTATCCGTTGAAGTCGGCTCCGTTGTCGTGTCGCGCGAAGCTATGGCCGAATCCGTTCCATACCGCCTCTTCTTTCTGAACGAGTACGGACCATCGTGTTCTGGTTCTTGCGGTTCCTCGGCCGTGGTTTCGCTGTCTGAATCCTTGGTCGGGCCCCAGCCGTTGCGCCTGTACTTTTCGCAAGTTGCGCAAAGACATTCGCAATTGTCCTCCCCAAAGTAATCCTCGCCGTAAGACACCGTAATCTCCTCGCCCACTTCAATATCCCTTTTCGAGACAATGGCCATTCCATTCGGACCGGCGGTGGTTAATCGCGCATTCGCCTCACAGTCGTGGTTCGCAAACCGCGCGGGGCCGAGGAAGAGGGAGGGCGCCTTTTTGCGACTGGACATGACAATGCTGAAATCGCGCTTGTTGAGGTCAAGCGTCTCTTCTTCCTCCTTCGTCATGGCGACCTGGATACCGCACAAATACTTTATGACCTCGTTCTTTTTGATTTCTTTTCGCGCAACAACGGAGGCTTCATGGCTGACAATGGTATAGCGATTCGTGGTTGAGACCTCCCACGGGCAATCCGGCATATAAATGTTGACGTACTTGCGGAGGTGCCTCTTGAAATGCTCCTTTTCGTCCTTGGTTCCCAGTCTTTGCAAATACTTTTTCAGGCCAGGCTGCTCCAGTAACTGATCCATGGCTTTGGCCGGGTCTTTGTTAATGATTACTGTGTCACGTAATATCTTGGCGATGTCCTCCTCATGGAGACCGCGGCAAGCGGAATACCTCATGCGATTCTTGCGAATGGTGGTCCAAAAGTAGACCTGCGCTTTAGTGTTAGGTCAGTGTGTTTTATGATATACCTCTGCGCGGCGGCGCGCGAAGGAACTTACGCGGTCGACGAGAGCATCGGTAGCCAGGTCGTCGTAGTTTGCCAGTTGCGACAGGGTCAAGCCGCCCTTCTTGGCCAGCGCATCTTTGAGAGCCATGGCAAGCGCTTACGGCGAGGAGAGAGGTGAGAAGCGGCGCAGGCGGCGACAAGGCCTGGCGGAAGGAAAAGGAGAGGTGAGGTGACGTAGAGCAGCAAAGAGAGGATCGTGCGCCTGGGCGCTATAGGAAAAGGCAGGTTGCACGAGAAAGCAAAAGGAAGCATAGACGAAAGCGAAAGAAGAGGAGCGGTCGGGCGCTACCTGGGCAGCGCAGGCCGTGAATGCAGCATTGGGTCAACTGGAGTGAATCAAGGTCAGCACAAAGCCACAAGGCCGGGGGGATGTGGAGGCTGGGAAGTGAAATGCAATCCGCTTGCACCCCGGTCCAGGCGCAAAGGCCCAGCGCCGGCGCCGCGGAACTAACCGGCGACATTTCTCGAACCTCGACATCGATCATCTGCCACTCTGATCGCGTGGAAGTGGACGAGGAGGCCCGCGCCAACATTCACCCAGCATGATCCAGCTCAAGGTAGACGCTGTGCCCTCTCCGCTCCTCGCACCACAAGGCTAACCCACTTGCCCCGGCAGTCCCTCGTCAACTGCATCGACAACTCCGGCGCCGCCATCGTCGAGTGCGTCCAGGTCTTGCGCAAGAAGGCCGCCGCGTCGATCGGTATGTGGAGTCCTCCAATATCCCACTGCGCTCCATTTGCGCCTTAGCTCTGCCGTCAATGCTATGGCGACGTCGTCAATCGCCTCTTCACACGCACAACCCTCCTCCGAGCATGGACCCACTCCGCGGACAAGATGTCTCGAGATATCGATATACTGCATGTGCCAAGAGCATTGAGATGGACTGCAAGACTACTGCTCATAACACCCATGTTGCGCGCCTCGCAATCATCTTCCAGCACCGCTGCATCGTCGCCGCATCCTGCTTCACCACACCACCTCCCCGAGACACACTCCTCTGACATCCTCGTCTTCTTTAGGTGACCGCATCATTGTTGTCGTGCAGAAGCAGCGTGCTTTCGGTGCCGACTCCGGCAGCGTCTCCGTCAGCGCTGCGAACAAGGTGCGCCGTGGTGACATCCGGCACGCCGTCGTCGTTCGCACGGCCAAGAAGATCCAGAGGCCAGACGGCTCGGTCGTCAGGTTCGACGATAATGCGTGCGTCTTGATAAATAAGTCTGGCGAGCCTATTGGAACCCGTCTTAACGGTAAGTCTGCTGCGTTGCTATTGAAGAAGCTGGATATGGGAAGATGAGAGCATCTTGCTTTCTGGAATGGCCGATACTGGCTATATTATGTGCAAAACATCGCTAATTATTTGTCTTCGTATATAGGTGTCGTTGGAGCTGAGCTCCGCAAGACGCAATGGTCCAAGATTCTCTCTATGGCCCCGCAGCATGTGTAAAAATATTGAAAGAAGCATATGAGCGGAGGAGTAGCGGAGTAAAGAAGGCATGTGGTCGTTGAGAAAATCAGTAGAAACATTGTGCCTCTATGCCGGACCGTTTGGGTATCAGAAACCCCCGGATTTGTTGTTTACAAAACGCCATGTAAAGACAGAGAAAAGCCAGTAAAAACAGAGCAAAATCTCCCCTGTAACTCCATGCTCGATTTCCCTTTTGATAACCAGACGTGACCACATAGAGTTCGTACAAATGCTATCCCTTGGGCCTCGATACCATCCTTCAAACCATCCCCACGAGCGGCGCCGCGCCTACTGCCACACGAGGCCGCAGGTCGGGCTGACGCACACGTAGTAGAGTTTCTAAAGGGAAGGTCTAGTGAGCCTCCGAACCGAAGTAAATGAGAAACAAGGTAGAAGAAGAGGGCCATACCATGCCGGTCTCAGCCGTCCGCTGCTGTGACTGGAAGAACACTGCCTCCTCGCCGCACTTGGGGCATGGTTCCTTCGCCCTGGGCAGCTAAATATCAGAGGCAAAGTTAGCGGGTGGAGCTTTAAAAACTCAACGCACACTAACAAGGACAATGATCATGACAAAATCAAACTCGAAGCCACAGATTCCGCTCTCGCTGTCCGTTCACTGGCCATCTTCTCGATGCTCGTGCATACCGCCCATGGACGTGTCGGGGTCGTCGGCCTCGATGAATAGACCCGCATCCGGCGCATCTTCTCCGCAAACCTCACAGAAGATCTCCTGGCCGCACATGGTGCAGAAAGGCGGGACGCCGTCGGCGGCGGCGAGGTCCATCTCGTCCAGGTCCATGTCCATGTCTTCCTCCACCATGCCGTTGCTATAGCTATTGCTGGAGTGGTGCTCGCCAGAACAAGTGTTGATGCTGTGTGAGGGGGCAGCAGAAGCGCTGGCACTACTAACCGTCGGGTCTTGGCCCAAGTCACTCGTCACACCGGCCGTTTCGGACGCCGTGTTGTGCATGTCGTTGCGGTAGATGCACGCCGTGTCGGCATCTTGGCTGTAGCTGCAGGTCCGGCAGGCGAACATGAGCTGGCGCGTCGACTCGTCTTCCTTGGGGTAGAGCAGGTTGGAACTGTGACATAGTGTTAGCTTGCCTCGAGAGGATAGAGGGCGGCGGAAGGGAGAAGAAGGATTACCATTCGGCGCAGAACCTGAACATGACCTTCTTGGAGCGCTCGTTGGCGCCATCCGAGGGCGCTGGGGAGGCGTAGCCAGACATGACGTGGGTTACCGTGTCGTCGCTTTGATCGAGGGTCGTGTTGAGGCGACGGCTGGGGGCTTAGGTGAGCTGCGGGTGGTAGCAGCAGAAGCTTATGCTTGTTGGACGTGGGAGGTGAAGGTCGGTTTCGCGGGCGGCGGCGGACAGCTGCTGGGTGTTGTGTAGGGAACGGAAGCGATCAACGCCCAAGCCGCCGCTTTTCACCCGCCCTGAATGGCAGCACGGCCTTGGCACGCGCATGACTCTAGTTCCGGCCTTCCTCAAATAAAGAGTCATTCATATCTTAATACATGGAGACCTTTGTCCCACGTGCCTTAGCGCGTGCACTTGGTGGCATCTGCTACTGAGGATCGCAGGGGATGCAAGCGCCCTTCATCTGCCAAAGGGATTCCGGCAAGTCGGTATGTTTACCTGAACCAAAGCAATATGCGAACCGGTCCTGGAATTAAGTGCAATATTTGACATGCGCTAAGGGGAAAAGCAAATGCTTGCCACAAACAATACTGTGGTAATAAAGGTAATCCGTAGTGACATTGGAGCACTAATTAGTTGCATACTCCTAGGTAGGTTGCTCAATCAAGCAGCAAGCACGCTCCGTGTCCACCACAGCCACCTGCGACAACTTCAAAGCTATATTTGTACATACATACGTATTTGATATGTCGGTGTCCCGGATAGGCGGCCCTGCATCCATGCTAGTTGGTTGATGCCTCATGCTCCGGTAAGCAAACCTCTAGCCTTAGACCATGCGACAGGTCATGGACACGTGGAATGTGATACCATTCGCGCGCCTCCAGAGTACACGAGATGCTGCAGTAGATGGAGGCAGAGATGCATGCAGCAGCCCTTGGAGGATCGTCAGGCAGGGAGGATCTGGAGCCAGGTCCCCAGACATCGTCGGGTCAGGGACGGGTATTGATGCAGGCTGAGCCGCTTCCCGTGATGTCTTGCGCACGCTGTGCCACGCTCCATCTCACCAGGCAGCTGCATCTCTGGCAAGCTAAGGCAAGCCACTGCAGGTCACCCTAGCTGCCGGGGAAAGTTGGAATTTAGCTCCCGTCCAAACAAACGTAGACGATTTAACAAAAGCGGACGAATGGAAGGCTGTGACACTGTATTCCTCCCTCTCGGCTGGATGAGGTAGCACCGCACATGGAGGAAAAAGCTCCGGTCTGCAGTGCGTTTCGACCTTAACTAGACGCGGCCTACGCGCGCGTGGTAGGCTACCGCCGGCCAACGAGGCATCTAGAATCTCGGCGAAGTTGTCGTGTGACTGCCCACGTGCAGCGATCGTGTTGAAGCCTGCTACCACCGGACGGCGAGGGTGAGACGACGCGGTCGGTGGGAGCTGAAGATGGCTTTGATGTGTGACGTGACAAGGGCCGACATGGGCTCCGCAGATCGTCGGAAGCTGCCCCGCACTCAAGTTCACAAGAAACACAAACACCCAAGCACAAGGTCACAAACTCAAGCCTCCAACCCCACCAACTCATTGCACGGAACCATCTCCTCTATCGCAAACAATCTAGCTTCCCTCAAACACCGCTATGGTAAGCTGAATCGCGCCGTCCCAAGGCTGTACTGCCTTGTTCTAATCACGCCCCAGGCTGAGACCGGTCTTCCCTCTGGCTGGGAGGTGCGCACCTCCAAGTCCAAGGGCCTTCCATACTACTTCAACCCGGCGACAGCTGAGTCGAGATGGGACTCGCCCGAGGGCACCGACCCCGAGAAGCTGAAGGTTTTCATGGCCTCGTACCACAGCTCCAAGGCCGGCGACGCTTTGGCTCAGGGCGGAGGGCAGGATACGATTCGCGCCGCGCACTTGCTCGTCAAGCACGAAGGAAGCCGGAGGCCCTCGAGCTGGCGCGAGGCCAAGATCACGCGTACTAAGGAAGAGGCGCTGGAGGTTCTGAAGGGACACGAGCAGCGCATCAAGTCGGGCGAGATAAGCTTGGGCGAGCTAGCTACCACCGAGTCCGACTGTAGCAGTGCGCGCAAAGCAGGAGACCTGTGAGTTGTACTCGGATTAGAAATCGCTTGACGGAAGCTAACTACCGACCCACAGTGGTTTCTTCAAGCGGGGCGACATGCAGCGGGAATTCGAGGATGCTGCGTTCGCACTGCAGCCGGGAGAAATTAGTGGAGTGGTGGAGACCGCGTCTGGACTTCACTTGATTGAGAGGTAAGAGGAGCTTTTTTACAACGTCCACGTGGCCATGCAGAGTGCTGATGCATATTTTCTTATCATTTTCCAGGTTGCCGAACGCACAATAGAGATATACGGCTAGCATTCCAGTCGAATGGCATTCATCCAGTGCGTGTCTGAATCAAACAGGTAGATTGGACAAAAGCGTATGACACGTGTGTATTCGCCATCTCGTGCTTGCGTGTGAGCTGATATAGCCCCGGATGAAATGAAAATCGCTCGCCTGCAAGGGGTAGGTGCAACCTACATATGCCCAAAGGCTCAAATGCTCGATCCGGCTCGAGATGTGAGATGGCCGGACCGGAGGTCTGCTCCGTAGGGCAGCCGTTCGTCAGTCATATTTCGCTCATCAGACTAGGCCGTCAAGACCAGTCATCCGCAGCATTGTGGCTGCTATCTAGGGCGGTGCAGGGGGGCAGTCAACTGCGGTACGGGGCGGATTCAGCATAGCCGCGCGAGTTGCCGCATACTGCGCCGTCTCGCTTGATCCACTTAACAACCAGATCATGCACACTGCAGCGGAACGAGACACGCTTCGGCAGGATCCCGGCTACACATCCTTCATGTTCATTGACAATGGGCACTAGACGTCAGATGGTGGTAGCCCGGCGACAGACCGGGCTCACCGATCCGAAAGTATCCGATGTGGCAGCAGTTCATCAGCCTTATCCCGCTGCGACGAGGTACGACGTCCATGCAGCGTGCAACGCTCTTGGCGTCGGCGCCCGACAGGAGGCGTCTCTGCCGGTTTTGTTGACCCGATGCTGGACGCAGGCGTTCTGCGGAATACGACCCCGGACCCCGCAGGTCTGCGCAAAGGGCGGGTTCGCGCGCCTAGACACTAGCTGCTTCGGGGCTTAGAATGTTCTGGAGGTAGCCGCCATGGCACCTTTGCCATATCCGTCGCCTTTGGTTGGACTGCGTCAGGCCACTGAAGGGGTACTCTACGGAATGTGTGGAGATGCTGCTTAGGTTGGTCGAATTATTTCACTGTCGTTGTCGTGCTATTTGAGTAGGCACCTCCCGCTCGCCCTTCCGTCATACCCGCTTTCCCATCCCAGCGGGCACCCAAGACTTTACTCTTACCTCTTCCATTGTTAACCCATAAACTCAAGGCCGCGTCAGCCAAACTTTTCTTTACCGCCCGGCTGGAACCTATTCCCTGACACACCTAAAACACATAAAAGCCCTCAGCACGCCCCGCAACGCCAAAGCTTTCAACCCTTAACACATTATCAACATTACCATACCTCGACTACAATAACCTTCACCATGGCAGCCGTTGCTTCTAAGCAATCCTATTCGATTGCCGCTGGCGGCTCATCACCTAACCGGCACATGCGCCGCCTCTCTGTGCGGCGCACTTTCTCCACCGGGCCCGACGTTTCGGCACCTCGGACGCACTGCCCAAAAGATGTCGATGCGTTCAGTTATGACCCCGCTCATCTGCTTGAATGGAGCATGCCCGACGGCCTCTGGTATCGCCTGCCCTCCCGACTCCGGGCCACTGTAGCGAGTATGCAACACGCTGGCGCAGCCGTCCTGACAGGTTTGGACCGCCTGCACGAGATGAAAGAAGAACTGCAGCTCGACAAGTTCTCAGAGACCTCCAACAAGGATGAAACTGAGGATCCATTCGAATATGGCAGTGGCAGCATCGCTCCCGGGCAGCCAGGACTCGAAGATCTCTTCGACGTCATGACGATGGAAGCCGCCAAAGCTCCACGTGGACGCCACGATTCCCTCGCAACCCCATCTCTTTCCACGCCAGCCTTGACTCCTTCGGACTCGAGCATAGCCGTAGACTTCGGCGACTCAAACTCGTCACCTTCGACGCCTCTTCCAGCCACACCACTCCAGCTTCCATCGCCCCTGGCTCTTCCCAGCAAGCCCTGGCAACAGCCATCTCCGCAGCGGTACTCGATGTCTGGGCCTCGGCCAGACGTGAAACTGGGCGCCGAGCCCAGCAACTCCAGCCTCGGCACGGCCGCGGTCCTCATGGCCAACGGCAAGCTCTCGGCGCCGCTGCTGCCGCTGCACCCGCACGGCTTCATGCCCACGCCGCGCCATCCGCATGCGGCCTACTATGCGGCGGAGCTGGCGGAGCTGCGCTGCGTGGCGCTGGTGCGGCTGCGCCACTCGGCGCGCAAGGTCGAGTCGCAGTGGATCGAGTGCAAGCGGGTGGGCGACGTGATTATCGAGGCCGCCAGGTCGTCCCCCGCTGCCTCGGCGTTCGAGCTCTCCGACGAGGAGCGCATCGAGGAGCAGGTGCGCAGCGCGCTGGCGGTGGTGCGCGAGTTTGAGATGTGGTGGGCGGGGCAGAAGGGCGAGGTTGGCGCGCTCGAGGAGCGCATCAAGAGTATTGACGGTATTTGGGCGTAGGCACTGGAGTACGGATTTCCCTTTTTTTGGTTTAACCTAACGCTTGATGGATGACGGATGATGAACTCTGGCACGTTCTTTGCTTGCGATTTTCACTCGAGCCTTTCTTTCCCACTTTGTTTTTCGCTGATCGAAACTGCACATGTTAGGGCATGGACATATATGAGGCGCATACTGATGGTATATTGGAAGGCGCTATGGTCGCATCTCAGAAACATTTTCCTTCTCCGTATCACATTCACCAGCTCAGCCCGCTCAGTGGCATTAGGTAGTTACGAGAGCTTTTTGAGGCCTCCCTTTCACCTTCGTTATTGTATTTTCTACTGTAGTAGCTTTGATAGCATCATTATAGGAGTCCAAAGTGTTTGCTTTTTTAAAACCTCTTTCCATCAAAAGCGCATCGAGAAACGACAAATAGACAGGCAAACAAGCAGCAAACAAACAACCACGCAGCAGGCACGCCCCAAACGGCGCACCGAAAAAGCCCACCCCCCTGCCTCCGTCATCCCAAACACCAACAAAGGGCGTCCAACAAAACACGCCTCCCCCGCCGGCAGGCCCACCCCCCACTTTTCAGACTTCTCCGCACTAAGACCGATCAGCCCGCGCGCGCGGGACACTCCCTTGGAGGCTTGGGGCCAGGGCCCAGAACTAACGCCCGCCGGGCTGGCCCCCCCAGGCGCGGTTCGCCGCGCGGGTAGTGGCAGCGCCGGCGTGCCGGCTTGGGCCCCGCCTGCCCGCTTGCAGCCGGTTGCGGCAGCTACTAGGGCGCGCGCGCGCGCGAGTGAGCGCACGCAACCCAGCCCGCCGCCTACCTCCCTACTCTAGAGTGCTCTACCTGGCTTTGCGGAGGGGCCTGTCTGCTGGGCTAGGCAGCTTGGCCGGCGTGCGCCGGTGTTGGATCGGCGGCTTGGGGAAAGTGGAGATGCTTCGCTGGGGCCTGGCGGCCTGCTGGGCGCTCTTGCGTCTCGTTGAGTAGCGCGTGCTTGCTGCGGGGACTCGCGGTTCATGAGGCGTCGGTTGCTGATGACGTTGTGGGTGGGTGGCATTACTGCCTGGCCAGGCCTGGCGCTTCCGCTGTGTGTAAGGGGTGGAGCTGGAGGTGGGGTTGGGGGGTTGGGGATTTTGATGAGCTGCGTGGGTGTGGTGCTGTGGCATCTGATGAAAGTTAGAAATCTGAGCGCTCTCATTTGCCTGCGGCTCTAGAATACGTGGTTGTGTCCCCATGTGACGCCGGGTTAAAGTAGAAATGCTACCCTGCCCGCCCCTCTTAAGTCGGGGAACAGGCAACTGATCCGCTCATCGGCTGCGTTGTACTCGTAAACAAGAGTCTAGAAGGCTTGCGACTCCATCGCCCGATGGTTCCTTTCTGCGCGCTCACGCAAGAATTACGACACCGCCTTCGGCTCGCGCCCGCTCTTCTTCCCTCCTTGCTTCTCTTTCGCGCGCACCTCGAGCGGCGTGCCCGCGCCGGTGCTGACGGCCTGGATGTTGACATCCAGGTACTGCGCATTCTTAGCCTCGCGGATCCAGGGCACTTCAACTGCCGCGAGATGCGCGCGCACGTAGTCTAGCAGCGGTGCCGCGCCTGGTGCCCCTTCCATTACACCCACGACGCCGACGCGCGGCAGGCCCAAAGCCGAGGCAAGCTTCTGCTCCGAAGATGCCTTGAGAGGGACCAGACGCGTTGCCGTGGCTGCTGGGAGCGTGCTTGAAGCTGCCTGCGACAGGAGCGGCAGGTGTGCGTACGTAATGTCGTTGGGCGGCTTTAAGAGGAACAGGATTGCCAAATTGGACAATGCCGGTGCATCACCAATTTCTTTATGCTCGTTTCCGCCTTGGGGACGGAGCGCTGGAGGCGCCCTGGCCGCTGCTAGTTGCTCGAGATGCCGAGTCGTGCTATTGATGCCGACGGTTATGGATTTGGAGATGTCGGGCATCGGCGGCGCCGGGACAGGGTCTGATGTTGCGGCTCCAGCGTCATCGTGACGCTTGCGCTTTTTGCTGCGTTTGCCTTGGGAGGGTGTCACGTGGAGAGAGCGGTGGTGGCCTATGGGGGAAAGGAGGCTGCAGGATTGATTGGTTACACTCTATAGGAAATTTGGACACGATGTCACAGTTCACGCTTACTTGACGAGCATTTCCAGCATGACATCGTGATCTGAGGTGGACAGTTGTGGCCTGCGACAAATGATGGTGGTGAGCGTGGAGGAGAATGAGACATTGGGAGCTGTATGTACCAGCTGACAGCGGTGTAGGGCGAGTCGAGCTTGAAGACAGTCTTGCCTGACTTGGCCGGCTTTGCTTGCATGTTGGTGGGTTGTGAGTGGTGAATGGCCGGTGCTTGGTGAATGAGTTGGTGATGATTTTCTTTGGTGTTTCACAAGCTTCAGGACGGGCCGCCTGACGTAATGGGGGGGAAGAGCGGGCCGATGGGATAATCCGGGCAGGACCGCCCTGGAACAGCCGCGCTAGAGCATCGCGCACTGCTCCTGCGTAGCCCGCGACTCGTTTACGCGTTGACCTCTCTACCGGTTGATATTACAAGCTGACCTTCTTCCTGTCCTGCAACACTGCCCCTGCGCGTGGACTCAAACATTTGCTACCCCCGGAGCTTATCGCGCGTGGCCCCTGCGTCGTAGCTCCGCCTGGAGACATTTCGTAGGCTGCCGCTCCTCGTACCCTGGTCGCTGTGAGGCAATCAAGCTCCCGAGCTTCACGCATGCTGCCGCTCCGTTTCTTTCACCAGTTCAACCTTTTCCCAAGGGCTTTCTGGTCCCCCTTGGAGCTCCTGTTGCCTTAGATAAGAGCCCCATTCTCCCCTCGCTGACTCATGGACAATCAACATGTAATGGATCCGCATCCGCACATCCTGCCACAGACCTCCCCGGCCGACCCTTCAGCTGAAGAGCGCCGCGATTCCATGGAAGACGCAGACGCCTCGCCCGGCCGATTCAAGCGCCCGCGTCTGGACAGCGGTAGCCGAGAATTGCAAAACATGGCGGCAGATCTGGACGAGATTCACGCGGAAAGCCTGGCCCACGACCCCGTCACTTCCGCCGACGCGCCCGCTACTCCCTCCGACCAGAAGGAGCAAACCGACGACGACGTCACCCGCGCGCCGCAAACGCCCAGTCGCGTCACCATAAACGTGCGCACCCCGCAGTCCCCTTCCCACATCACCGCCTCCAACGGTGCTGCCGACGCGCCCGCCGCCCATGAGCCTGAGCCTGAGCCTGAGCTGCATGCTGCTGCGCACAACACCAACATGAGCCCTCCGCAGCGCTCGTCTCCCTCGGCGCCGTCGCCCAAGACAACCTCCAAGACTTTCGCTGCCGACGCCTCCCGCATAGACGCCGCTCCCTCCCCCGTCGACAGCCCGCCTATAGTCGAAATCGACGTCGACGACTCCGGTGACGCCGAAGACTCTGATAATATCATTGACATAGATGATGATGAGAATGAGGTTCGCGAGAGCATCTTCGACGAATTCCCATTCGCAAAGACCCACTCTCTAGACGTTGCTGCTGGAGGTCTTCTGAGCTTGATATCCAAGCCGAGTAAGAGCTTCCGTGGCCCTTCGGAACAACTCTGGCTAACTGACGCACCAGAAAACTGGCATCAACTTACCGAAGGCATCCTAAGCTCAATTGCCCGATGGATGAACAAGTTGTCAAGCCTGGTGGACCAAAACAAACTTGACTTGTACACTGCTTACATCAACGAGCCTGCTTTCTGGGATAAAATCAATGATATATTTCGCGCATTGTTAATGCGAGGGTAGGTTGACTTCTATTTCATTTTACAAGTCATAGCTAAACAATTTGGTAGCCGCTCGTACGAAGATGCCGTGGACTTGGGTCCGGACCAACAAGAAGAAGACGCGCTAGTGGATTTATTCCAGGCTTACGCCAGGGTTGCTGCGCAAATTTTTGCAGCCGACGTGGAATACTTTGAGCGTAACCCCCAGCCGTCTACTAAGGTACAGCATGTCATGGCTCCGTGCCATATACTGGTACTTAGCGAACTGCTCGTGCGCAACCCGGAAGTCCCGTTCTGGATATTGATAAGGGGAGTCCTGGCGGCAAATCCCATCGAAGTATGTGCTTCGATCATGAGCGGCTTTTTCGCATCACGCCATGGCCTCTCATCCCTAGTAGGATTGATTCGGCTAGGTGCTTCCATGCCCAATCATGAACTTCGTTCAACTGCCGCCGAATGTCTGCAACTTGTGCAGCTAACGACCGAATTCGCCTTGGCCTGGAGTCGTAAGGCCTCAACCTCGGAGCGCCGTTTCTTTGTGCAGCAGCTGTTGAAGCTCTTTAGGGAGCTTGACCCAACGACACTGGCGACGTCGAAGGCGCCCTCTGAGCTTTGCACGAACCTCGTTCGGGTAGCGGCCGACTTACTGCAATGTATCACTGAAATGGACAGAGAGCTGGCGGCACAACTCGCCACCGAAATACTCGGCGATGCCAAAGATTTGTATCCCACAGATTGTTATCCGGAGTTCGTCCGCGCGACCTGGCAACTAAGAGCTTTGAAGTTTTATATGACCAAAGGGCACATGGCGCAACGCATCTGCGGAGTCGAAGGCATGAGCCAGCAACTGATTGAAATGTGGAGCAGATGGTCGAAACATGGTAACATTGGAATCAATGCCCTCGCGGTCTTTGGCCAGACCTTGTTGGACGAGGGCATCATTGACTATCTCATCGGCGTCGACTCTCACGCACAGTTGGTCTCCCGCTGCGGCAACGTCGTTGGTTTCTTGACTGTTTCCAATCGTTGGTCCGATAAGCAATCGGATTCGATTTGGGCTTCGATCACTCAAAGTCAAGACCCTCGTATGGTCGAGGCCCTTACTGAATTGCTTATCCACTGCATTGCGCTCATGGACATAACTGACCTCCTCTACCTGTGCACTAAGCTGCGTACCTTACCTGTGGATAAGTTCCATCTCGGGATTCAGGAAGTCTTTCACCGAATTTGCAGTGCGTTACACAACAAAGCTCACATCCAGGCCGTCGAATGGAGACAGGTGGAGAACCGTATGCACATATTCGAACTTTGTGTCCACCTGATCCAAGAAAGCTTCCTCATGGATCCATCAACTCCGGTCGTTGAAACTCTGCATCAGCGAGCCTGTAAGGAACTTTCCAACTTATCTAAGCCGGAGGTAGCGTGCGACGGCGATCGGCAAAAAATCTACGAGGCTTGCATTCAAGAAATCGAGAAGATGACGGCCAAAGCTGCACCCAGTGCAAAGGTGATATACATTATCGCCAGAGCTTCCATAGGGAATGAGGCGGCTTACCTGGCAACCGACTTTGGCTTGACCGAATCAGTTGCGAAAGAGCTGTGTTCCTTCATAGATACCGAAAGAACTAAGGACGCCGGCAACAACTCCAACGGAGCCTTGGGATGGCGCTTGGAACTTTTGTTCTACCTTGTCAGCCAGTGCCCCGAATCCATACCCCCTGGCACGCAAGAAGTCGTGTGGGATCACTTGGTGGGATGCAAATCAATAGACGATGACGCACGCAACATCGCATGGCATTCGCTTTCTCAGATGGTCCGGGTGCAAGCTACGCATAACGCCTTCCTCGACCGCTGCGCAACAGATCTGCTCCCCAAAGTGAATCCGCAGTTCTACACAGCCGGGCTCTATGAATTCCTTTATCATTTGATTCAATGGCAGTTGCGGACCGTACAGTCGACTGGAATAACGTTGGAGGGTATTCTGGAGCCGCCTAGCGTTGAGCTGTTGTGGCAAGTCCTCCTTACGGCTCGACCAGGAACTATTGAGGGAGCCACTGCTGAATTCCTGGCTTTGCTCTACCTTGATGGGCGTGCTTATAATCAACACCATGCCACCTATCCCAACTTGGCTGAAGACACCCACAAGGCCCTTGTAAATCGCTGTATTCGCCAGCTGGTCGAAGCTCATGCCGCTTTGAGCGTTCCGGTTGAGCAAACAATGCAAGACGAACAGATGCAAGGCGTTTCTTCCGACGACGGAAATGCCTTGTACACGCTACGCTTTCAGAGGACCTTCTTGTTCCTTGCTGTACTACTCAACACGGTGAAGAAGAAGCCAGAGTTTAGGGTTGCATCGCCTCGTCTAGACAAGCCTACAACGCCGGCGGTTGTCCAAGAAACTGAAGGCGAACCAACAACAATCAGATTCCAGGCTTACTGGGGGCAGAGTAGTGACATGCAAACCGTCACCGTTGGAGACCTGGTGACGGTGTCATGGCTCAAGAACCGCCTTCGCGAGTGGACTGGCTTTACGCGTTTCAAAACCGTCTATTGGGGCAAGATGATCAAACTCGATGACATGGCAAATCAGACTCTTCGGGAAGCTGAATTCACTCGGGGCCATTTCCTAATTATCAAGGAACGGGACAAGGATTCAGTGTCGTATGACAGAGCGACTTCCGTCATAGAGGCTGAAATCCTTAAGAATTTTGATATTCTGTATGATTTTATGGAAAAGGACGATCTGCCGAGCAAGGCTGTAGGTGAACCCTCTATCAACACATGGTATAGCACTGACAATCGGCAGGCTTTTGAGTTCCTAGAGTCACTACCTCCTCACGGAAAAGCTCTCACCATCACATACGGCTTTAGTGATGCGTCTGTCGATGATATCGCTGCATCTGCGTTCCCCCCCGGGAATCCATACAAAGCCAGGTATTCTGTGCTTACTCTCGATGCGGATTTTCAGCATCATCTGAAACTGGTAAAATGGCGCCAAGACCTGCATGCATCTTTGTCTGAGGAACTGGAGATTGATGATATACAGGGCCCCATTGATGACCAGTTGATCCGCCACTCAGTGCAGTTGCTCAACGCTGCCATTTGCGATGAGACTATCATTGACCGTTCCCTTGCAACCGACCACGACTACCGCCTCGCCTCGAGGGCTATTGAATGCTTCGCAAATTTGCTGAGAGGCATGTCTGACGACACCATCTTCGCATACAGAGGGCTGACTGGCGCAGAGCGAGTCGGAAATGAGATCTCCTCCTCGTACTTTACCAATGAGACGCGTCTTGTTGACCGCTTGATGGCTTTTTTGCGTGCTTCTCTGAGTCTCTCCAAAGCCACCAAGCTAGTAGGTGATTGTTACACGGCTACTATCGAAGCTTGCTTGCACAGTCGTGGTGTCTGGGAAGCGTTCAAGAGTCGGAAGGATCTCGAGGAGCTACACTTGGATCTGCTTCTCAGAAACAGGGAAGATGTTCGTATCGAAATTGCGCAGTGCATTGACTCAAACTGCGCACAACTTCCTGAGTAAGTCTGGATCGGTTCGCTCCCACCTTGTATTTGCGACTGACAGTGGGATAAACCAGGTCGTCGCGCGTCGACGTCGATGACATTGTGGTTTTCTACTGGCACATCTTGTGGCGGTCACTTCCACAAGCCGTTACTTTTCCTAAGCAATCAAAGTCACTCTTCGAGTTATCGGCTGTAATTTTCCGCCGGTATGACGCGTTGCACCGGGACGAAGCTACACTAAGGGACTACATATCCTCGTGGAGCGATCTAGTCCTTGAGTACAAGCATGAAGTCGCCGTGGGCCGCAACAACCTGGACTTCGTCGTTCTTGGCTTCGCTCACCTTCTGCGTAATGCCGTGCAATCGCTGAAATCGTTCAAGAAGCAGCTAAGCCTTGGGTAAGTCTCATTACATTATCAATGTGGAAAAGTTCTGACCTTGTGAAGGGATTTGGCCGCAAAATTCTTTGGGGTGTTTCTATTCCCTACTGCTCCGAAATGGCCTATCGCGAAGCTGGAGAAGGAGGAAGTTCTACCAGTGCTCGACATAAGGACACGCGAGGAACTGTATACACTGATAATAGCACTTTGTGACGAGGAGTCCGTCTTCAAGCAAATCATCGGCCTCACGGATTGCGTCCTCAAGAACTGTAAGCATACTCTATACTTTCTCCCCATAGAAAGCTATCACTGACTTGCTTAGGCAACGTCGAGAGTGGCGAGGGCTATCCTCTAGATTCACCAAGGGACCTTCGTTCGGAAACTGGCTACGCTGGCTTGGAAAACCCCCAAGCCCTCTGCTACATGAACTCCCTGATGACTCAGCTCTTCATGGACCTCAACTTTAGAATGTTCATCTTTCAAGCTGAAGGCTCCGATGACGATGGCCTCCTGAAAGCCATGCAAGAGCTTTTCGCCAACATGCAGAGTAGCTACAGCAGATCTGTGGACATGAGGCCATTTGCACAATACATCCGCGGTACCGACAAGAAACCCATCAACGTGGCCATACAGATGGACACGGAAGAGTTTTTCCGTCTGCTGATGGACCAGCTAGAGTCTCAACTGGAGAAACCTCAAGACAAAGAAAGGCTAAAAGACTTCTACGGTGGTGTATCTGTCAACCAAATCAAGTCCAAGGATTGCGAGCATGTTTCTGAGACGGCAGAAACGCTGTTCAACATCCCGCTTGAAGTCAAAGGCAAAGAAACTTTAGAGGACAGCCTGAAAGCCTACGTCGAAGGGGAAAGCCTGGAGGGCGAAAACAAGTACAAGTGCGAGTCATGCGGCGGCAAGCTGGTAAATGCCGTGAAGAGGACTTGCCTGAAGACTGTCCCGGACAACCTCATCATGCATCTCAAGCGGTTCGACTTTGACCCGTATACTTTGACTCGCGCCAAGATCAACGATTACTTCCAGTTCCCGCAACGGATTAACATGAGCCCTTACAAGGTCGAATACCTGAGCGATCCGAACAAACCGATTGAAGAGGACTATTTTGAGCTCGTTGGGATTTTGGTCCACGCTGGCGGCGCAGAGCAAGGTCATTATTGGTCCTACGTTCGCGTTCGTCCCGATAACGAGGATGCACCTAGGTGGATCAAGTTTAACGATGACACTGTCACCGAACAAGACCTCAGCAAGGTTGACTCCGAATGCTTTGGCGGAAATGGTCGTCACACGTCTGCGTACATGCTGCTCTATCAGCGTGCAGCTTTGCTTGACAAGACACCTGGTAATGTTCCTCGTGCACCACAGTCACTCAATCCGATTGCACAGCTGCCAAAGGAGCTCGAACAGCAGATAGCCGAGGCGAACGAGCGTCATATCCGCGAACACTGCTTGTTTGACCGAAGTCATTCGTTCTTCATGCAGAGGATGATCCAGCAGATGCGGACGCTAAACAAAGGCATATGCTCCGAAGACCATGGCCTAGAAAAGGAAGTTGTCGATATGGCAATGTCGCATTTTTACCAAGTGACGGCCCGAGGCCAGGATTACCAGGAAGTCGAGAGGATTCTGAATGAGCTTAAGAAAGTTACTTCATCGTGCGCCATATGCACCAAGCTTGTTCTTGACTGGATATGTCAGCATGAGACTGCGCTTGCAGACTGGCTCATATTCTCATACTTACCGGACAGCATCAACCATGTCGGCCACGTTGTGCGGTTGTTCATCATCGAGGAGCTCTCTGTGCTGCGCATACGGGATCCCATCAAGTACGGCAGTGACCCGCAGGAGCTTGAGCTCGAGTTGGCTATGGAGCCCGCAAAAGATGGTGTCCTCTATTCCATGCTCAGGAAACTGAGGTCGCTTTCCGATCACCTTCACTACATCCCTCGTGGTCTTGACTTGAAGCAACACCCATGGGATGAATACTTCGGGCTCCTCACAGTTATTGCCAACGCAGGCGCTTTCGAAGCAGCTAGTCTGTTAGACCATGGCTTCTTGGTTATGTGCCTTGAGTTGTGCAGCGCCGAAGACGACCCAGAAGCGGCAGAGAGCTTTCCGGGCCTCTCGCCAATGCTCGGCAGGAAATGGGGCCCATGCTACAACGAACTTATCCAATTCCTATCTAGAATGCTCATCAAGATGGACCTTGAGGCTGAGCCCTGCGCCGACTTTAATGAACGTCTCCGGACCTACAGCGATTCCGAGAAGCAGCTGTTTCCCCTTTCTCCAGAGGAACACAGCCTTCTATTCCGATGGCACAAAAGCAACCACTACCTGATTGTCTTGAACAAGTGCTTGGAAGGATGGGACATGAGCCGCACAAACTACTTTCCTGCGGATCTCCTCAAGCATATGATCGACTCGGATCTAGACAGCATCTGCCTGACACACATATTCCGAACCATTGAGTCAGGTCTCGATATCATGTCTCCAGAGCTAGGACCTACCTGCTTGTTGGCCGCTGCATGGTTCTGCGCCTACACGTCCGACCCGAGGTTTGCGCAGGCGATGGTTACAACGGTGAACAAAGCTTTCCAGCAAGGCGTGGGCGCCTACGCGCTCGACTTCCTGAAGTTTTACAACAACCTCACCACTTTTGTCAACGACAAACTTCCGGATGAGTTCCACGACTTTTTCTACTGCTCGGCGCTAGAGTTTGCGCCGCACTGGGCCGTGACGTTGCTTTCAATTGAGGACCCCGAAGTGCAGCAGGCTACTCTCGTCTATGTGCGGAATATGTTGACACAGCAAGAACCCGGTGGGCCATATAGGGACGAGCGATTTGCATCCCTCAAGATCCTTAATTGCCGGGTCACCGCTGTGCGCAGAATCGCCAAGGCCGCTTCCGAGAGAATGGTCATAATTCATGAGAAGGGAGATGTGGCCAAAAGCCTCATAGAACCGCTCTATTCTTTGATTTTCGAAAGCTCCAAATTCTTAACGACGGTTTTGGCGACGAGGGACCTTGAAGATGACGATGCAGATGAGATTGAAAATGCCGTCAGGCAGTGCAGATGTAAGTTTTGAGAGTCAATGGTCTCGAGGCCGTAAAGACTGACTCAACGTTGCAGTAACGGACGAGTATTTCAGGACCTGGCCCGAATCAGATTACGACTCGAGTAAGTCTCCAGCACGCGACAGAAGACGGCGACGCAGCGACACGGTATAGAACGTCATCGACTAATACAAATGGTCACTTCAGCTTTCTCGGCCGAAGAAGAAATCGAATATGCCGATGATGTCGTCGGCATCTGAACAACTCTCTGGATTGCTGATAACCTGCGATTCGCCAAAGAAGCAAACCCTCACTCGCAAACCTATGTTTCTTGCTGCTTGGAGCCCAACTTTCAAACATGAAAGATCGACATGAAGGCAGCACGAATAGCTGGATGGGATTTGGAGCGGCTGTAATCAAATGCCGTCGACCATTCCGCACTCCCACATCCTCACTCGTCAGACAATGATGATCTGTCAGCACCGTCTTCATCTCGGCATGCACCAGTGCGGCTGCAACGACGAACGACTTAACCCGATCTTCTCCCTGGCACCATTGCTTGTTCTTACTTTTTGGCGTGCTTGAGATTCACTCTTCTGCTTCATTGATTTCTGCTTTCTTCTTGTCTTCTCTTCTCTCGGCACCTAAAAAAGAAACTGGCGCACGAGCGGAATTAAACCGGGGTGATGGGCAACTGTTACAACGTACAGATGTTGACGGCGAAGTTGCTTCGCTCAGCACACAAAGCACACGGGCACAGCCACGATTGTGGATATATGCGGTCATGGTTCATGAGGTTCCAGCTTGCTGGGCTTATGGATTTGCGCATGCACGTGGATGCAGTAACCTGGACCGGAATGCATGCATACACTCACTGCATTGGCTTCCTCCTTTTACTTTTCTTCTTCTTCTTCTTCTTCCCCTACTCTTTGCTGCTTTCGGCGCGGGAAACTCGGCGGATGGACAACGGTGTGGGATGGTATCTGGCGTTGGAAACGGGCTGGCTGGCCGGCTATGATTATGGCTGGCCTGGGGTGGATTAGGATGAATGGATGGGACGAACAGGATGAATCAGGGTATGGTAGGGTAGGGTAGGGATCCATGCGATGCTATGCTATGCTATGCCTGTTATGCAATGCGAGGCAGCAAGAGTATAAAGAAGTGCTACTGTATGTGATGGTGTCGCGAAGCGTGACCATGGATAGCATAGCAACGCCAATAGGTACAGTACATTTATGTCTTTGTAGCACCACCACTACCACCAATATCACCAACACCAAAGACCAACACGACACACAAAGCAAACGCACGCCCTTACAGACGCACCCCCTACCTACCTACCCACCAGTCCCACCCACCCACTCACTCGCGCGCGCGTGGCAAAGGTGGATACGGCGCAAATCCAATCCAATACACCCACTCGCGCACCCAGTCCCACTCCCACAGATACCGGTAGCCCGCGTGCGTCGCGGTGGTGCACCGCCTCACCTGCCCATCCAGCAGCCAGCCAGCCAGCCACGGCCCGGCTCCTGCGTGAGACACGGCCATTTCCGTGCGGGCTCGTGACGAGGGACGAGAAGCATGGGCCCGGGCCGCGCTCGCTCGTTCGGCAGTACGGGACAGACAGACGACAGACGATGTCAAGAAAGAGAGAAAGAGCAAGCGCAAGAACAAAGAGCAAACGAAAAGGAAAGGAAAGGAACCTAGGGAGCACGCCACGCGACGACACGACGCCGATCGCCTCGCCGCACGCGCTACCAACTACCCTACTACCTAGTTGTTATGAGCACAAACGCACGCGGCTATCAAGGCATAGGCAAGGCATAGGCATATGTCGTATGTAATCATATCTGCATCGCGATCGCGCAGTGCATGGACCGGTGCTCGAGCCCCAGGGCTGTGCGTTCCTGCTCTGTTCTCACGGTAGGTGCCGTGGGGCTTGAGGGCTATGACTACTGCGTATGTAGCACAATATGTTAGGTAGGTCACAGCGGCGGAAGAGGTGATTGTCTGGCCCTGACCCTGACCCTGACTCTGGGCGCTAGGCGCTGGGTGGTGGGTGGTGCGCGTGCGGTGCGGTGCGGTGCGTGGGTACGTGCAGCGTGCCTACCACGTTGGGGACCTGTGCGTTTGCGTGTCGTTCGTGGTAGGTAGACCGTAGCGGGAGGTAGGCAGGTACTACATAGGTAGGTAGGGGTGTGGATGGGTGTGCGTGAGTACAGAAGAAGAGGAAGAAGAGGAAGAAGAGGAAGAAGAGGAAGAAGAAGAAGTTGTGGCATGCGGGTTGCTGGTGGCGAGATGGGTGATGATGACGATGACGATGATGATGATGGTGATGATGATGATGATGATGATGATGATGATGATGATGAGAGGCGGAATGAATGCATGGACTTGTAAACCGGCTTGCGAGTACGTAGTACGTGAGATACCTCCAGCAAGTGCAGCAAGCTCGTATACGGCGCACCCACCACCCCACCCACCCCCGGCATGAAACACTGCATGGCATTATCATGGGCATATCATAATAGATATGTATGTAGCATAGACAATAACATTGACATTCCAGCACGACCAACTCCCCGTGCCTATTACTACCCGACCGACAGATTGCGTGCGTGCATGCGTGCGTTTTAGCGTTGGCCTTTGTTGTGCCGTTTAGTTGTTGTGGTTGTAGTTGTTGTACAGGGTCCCGTTGACCGAACTCTATGCAAAAAAGCACACTCAATCGGGACAATGACCCAAAAAAAGAATAAAGAAAAAATAAGGAAAGAATAAAAAGAAAGAAGTAAAGGAAAGAGGTGGGTAAAAGGAATGGTCCCCCTCCTTCGCTGCTCGTCGCTGCCCGCCGCCATAAGTAACGATTCGTGTCCATCTCAGTCCAGTCTCTTTATCTCTCAAACTCTTGTCTGCGTCGCTCGCTCCCGATCCCGCTTTTGCATGAGAAAAGCCGGATCAAGAACCAAAGCGCGCAGCTGCGCCTCCCTCATTACAACTCTCTCCGCCCTCGTCTGTCGTCACATCCTTCGCGATGTCTTGCCCTCCCTCGTACTCTGCCCATGACGTGGTATACTGCGTGCGCTAGGACGTGCCTTTTGCTCTTCCGGAACGATTAAAACGAAAATCGGCGAGCCCCCAACCTGCCGGCAAAGAAGAAGTAACTTGGCTAGGCGGGGGCGGAAAAAAGTAGAATGTCGCAAACTGTCGACTGTCTGTTTTCTCTTGACGAAGCTGAATTAAGATTGAGGAAGGACGAAGGGGTAACCGTAACCAACCCCCCGGGGATATCATAGTATGCGGGTGGGGGGTCTTTTTGGAACAAGGAGAAGATAAAAGAATGCCCGGCTGCTGTCAACGGTCTCTTCTTTTTCGCTCACACGCGCGCGCTCTGCTTTCTTCGCACCCTCCATATGCAACGGAAAAGGGCGCACACAATCTGGAGAATGACAATGATGGCAAGAAAGAAAGGCACACGGTTGAAGAAGGGGGCGATTATTAAGGCAAGGGAGTTAAGGTAGCGCAAAAATGCCAGAATGCAGAAAAAAGAACGTCGTGATCAATGCGACAACAAACACAACAGGGGGCCACCGGTATCCAAGTAAACGAACAAAGTAATACAATGGAGTACAGAGGGGGTGCAAACTGGTGTGGTTCTTCTTGCGTTGTTGTTCAAATCGGGGTACTCAGGCGTGAAAATAAAAAACAAAAAAAGACGAACAAACTATAAACAGATGAAGCCAGATTGCAAGGTGAAGAAGCCAAAATGATGCGTAAAAATGGAAAACAGAAAGAAAAGGAGGAGAAAGGTAGGCGGCGATCAAGCCGCCGTTGCGTCGGACCAATTTCCCGACGCTCGTCATCTTCGCATTAGAAATTTCCCGCGGTATCCTCTTTGCCCTACGTGTGAAATGCGAATAGAATTGAAAACGAACCCTCTACTGAGCGCCCGCCTCCTCCTCCGCCCAGCCGGGGAGGCCGCCGTGGCCGCCGTCCTGGATGGCGAGGCCAAAGCCGTTGCCGGCGCCGAAGCCGCCCAGGCCGCTAGCCAGGCTGCCAAAGTTCTGGCTTTGGCCCTGGCTCGTGGCGCTGCTGGGCTGACCGAAGGGCCCCTGCGAGAAGACGGGCAGACTAACGGCGCGCGCGTGCTGCGCAGAGCGGCCCAGGCTCGAAGGTGCGAGCAGACCACCGATGGTCGTGGGGCCGGTGCTTCCGCTCGAGCCACCGGTGCTGCCGTTGGTGAGGCTAAAGCTGCTGCTCGGACCATGGTGCGAGTGCGTCGGCAGACCGCTGCCGCTCGAGCTGTTGGTGTTGTCGGCGGCGTAGAAGGCGGCCTGCGTGCTAGGGAAACCCTGGCTCTGCTGCTGGCTCTGTTGCTGGTACTGCTGCTGCTGCTGTTGCTGTTGCTGCTGTTGCTGCTGCTGTTGTTGTTGCTGCTGCTGCTGCTGCTGAGCCTGCAGGTACAGCATCAACGGGTTGTTGGAGCTCTGGTAAAGGATGTTGGTCGGAGCCTGAAGAGCACCGAAGCCACCGTTACCCGGGCCGCCGGGGCCGTTGGAGCCGGCGGGCGAGATGTTCTGTGCCCTGTTCGGCAGGCCATTGAGCGGCGATGGCGAGGTCAGACCATCCTGCATGCCGTTCTGCTGGTTCTGCTGGTTGTTGCCGCTGTTGCTGTTGACCTGTCGCGGCGGGTTGCCGCACCTGTCCTTGCCGAAGTTGACCTTGAAGCGCTTGTACTCATCGCGGCCGCGCACGGCCTCGATGGCCTTGATGGCATTGGCAATGTTGGTGAAGTTGACAAACGCGCAGCTCTTCTCGCGCAGCGTGTTAACCAGCTCAATCTCACCGTACTCGGCAAAGTCCTGGCGGAGACGCTCCTCGGTCCACGACTCGTCGAGGTTGCCAATGTAGACGTTACGCGAGGCGCCGCCGCTGACGGCGAGAGCGATGGCAGGTGGCAGCGCGCCCGAGTGCTTGCCCCAGCCAATCTTCAGGCGGCGGTTGTGGATCATCAGACCCTGAAGGTTGCTGAGGGCATAGAAGGACGCGGCCGACGTGGGATCGATGAAGGTCACGAAGCAGATGTGCTTGTCGGGGATGTAGCGGATGTGGTGAAGCAGACCGCCCCTGACGACATTGCAAATCTCCTCAATGGTCGTCTCCGGGTGGATGTTGCCCAGGTAGACGGTGCGGTTGCCAAGGTTGTTGGCGCCGCCGGCCGACGTCGCGACGGCCGCAGCAGCCACCGACTGCTGGGCCAGGGCGTTGGAGATGAGATCCCTGTCGGCGCCGTTGAGGACGTGCGCATAGCCGGGCGCGATGCCCAGGTACTGCGCCGCGTTCTGCTGCTGCGTCTTGGAGACGTATGCGCACCGGTCCTTGCCGTAGTAGACACGGCGCGGGGCCTGCCACTTGGGCTCCTGGGGCAGCTGGGCGACGGCCTTGATGGCATTGCCGATGGACAGGAAGTGGACGAAGCCAATGGCCTTTTCGCGCACAATCTTGACCGTGTCGATGGGGCCGAACTTGCCCAGGTCCTCGCGCAGCTCGTCCTCGGTGACGTCTTCGGACAGGTTGCCCAGGTAGACGTTGCGCGAGGCGCCCGACTGCTGGACGGCCAGGGCGACCGACGTGGGCACCTGCGACGGCTTGCCCCAGCCGACCTTGATGTCCTGGCCGCGGATCGACAGCTTCTTCAGAATGGCATCCGAGTGGAAGTGCGTGGCCGAGCTGCTGTCAAGGAAGGAGATGAAGGCGCAGTTCTTGTCGGGCAGCAGCCTGACCGACTCGATCTGGCCGCTGCGCACGTGTCCGAGTATCTCCTCCGCCGACGTCTCGGGCGGGATGTTGCCCAGGTAGACGGTCCTGCTCGTGCCCGAGACGAGGCCAGGGGCCATATGCATCGGCGCGCCCAAACCACCCAGAGGCGGGCTGGCGAGGCTGGAGAAGCCGGCCGTGGGCGACTGGGGCCCAGCGAAGAAGGACGGGGCGTTGAGGCCGGTGGGCGACATCATGCTCTGGTAGAGCTGGGGAGACAGGGGCTGCTGGATGGGACTGCCCATGGGCGGCGGCTGGCTCTGCTGCTGCGAGCCCTGGAAGGTCGAGAAGCTCTGGAACTGCGGCGAGCCGAAGGCGTTGGGCGAGCCAGGCTGGAAAGGACTGCCCAGCAGCAGCTGCGAGGGCAGCAGCGGGGTGAAGTTCATGTCGAAGGCGGTGCCGGGCGTCTGCATGTCGGCTTGGGCTTGGTTGGCGTTGAGGGAGCCCAGTCTGGCGGTGGAGATGTTGGGCAGGTTGCGCTGAGGGTGACGATCGCCGTAGCCGGTGATGGAGGGTTGGTTCGAGTGGAAGGCACCGTGCGAGAAGCCGGTCGAGTCGCCGTTGAGATGGGGTGGTTTTGAGAAGGAGGAGCTCATACGCGCGCCGGGGCCAGCGGGGGCCGAGTCTTGGGGTTGCATGGCCAGAAGATGTGGTGGCAGGACAAAGCCGTCCCGCGCACTGGGAGACAGGAGCGCCGTCGTGATGTATTAGAGCGTCCGGTGCGTCGCGGCCCGGACTGGGGGAATTATTAGGACACGGAAAGGACAGAAGGGCTGTAGTAGGGCAAGCAGTCAGCGGACATTGGATCTGCAGGGCGGACGGACGACGCACTGGGCGAGGATAGCGGGTGCAAATAAGGATGCTGCGGTCAGAGAGGAAGCAAAGCGTACAATATCCGAGAAGGCCTGACTCGCTGACCCCTATCGCAGCGGGCGGTAAGAGGGTCGGGCGACGGGGGGCAGGTTTAAGGAGCGTGAGGCCTGAAGGGGAGAGGATGGTAAGTGAGGTTGCTTTGCATGCAACAAGGGACCGGCCAGCTGCAGGCCAAGGGGGAGATGGCACGGCCGAGAGCGGTTTAGCCGCATTCTTGGCCGGCGAGACGACGCCTCATTCAGCGTGCCTGGCACTAGGCGGCATGCGGTTTAGGCCAGATGACCCTGCAAAATGCAATTGAGATTTCTTGAGTCACGGGTCGTCACGCACACACAAACGCGCACGCGTCCCACTTCTTGGAATTTCTGCCTCAGGCATCGTACGTAATCAGGCATCTACGTCCAACCAGACCAGGCAGGCACTACCGGCACCCACCCACAAACCAACCACAACCATCGGGCAGGCACCACCCATCGCAACTGCCTTCACCATGCCCGACCTTTACCCCTCCCTCGCCAGCTGCGCCGTCGTCGCCACCGCCCTCAAACTGCTGCTCCTGCCCGCCTAGTAAGCTCGCTCCTTCCCCCCAACCCACTCTCACCCACCGCCCCGCCTGACCCCCCAGCAAATCCACCGACTTTGAGGTCCACCGCAATTGGCTCGCCCTCACCCACTCGCTACCCGTCGACCGCTGGTACTACGAGGTAAGAGAGTCTCTCTTCATCAATTCCACCCTCCTCGCCTAACCGCCCAGAACACCTCGGAATGGACCCTCGACTATCCGCCCTTCTTCGCCTACTTCGAATGGGCCATGTCCCGGCTCGCCCACCTCGCTGACCCGGCCATGCTCAACGTCAAAGCCCTCGGCTACGACAGCTGGCAGACGGTCTATTTCCAGCGCGCCACCGTCATCCTGTCCGAGCTGCTTCTGCTCTACGCCCTGCACCTCTACGTCCAGACGGCCTCCAGCCGCAAGCTTGCCCATGCCGCTGCCATTTCTGTCTTGCTCTCCCCTGGTCTGCTCATCATCGACCACATCCACTTCCAGTACAATGGCTGCATGTACGGCTTGCTCATCCTCTCCCTCGTCCTTGCCCGCAAGCAGTCGACGCTGCTGTACAGCGGCTTTCTCTTCGCCGCCCTGCTGTGCATGAAGCACATTTACCTCTACCTAGCCCCCGCCTACTTTGTGTACCTCTTGCGCGTGTACTGCCTGAGCCCCCAGTCCATCTTCCGCATTCAATTCTTCAATTGCATCAAGCTGGGTCTTGGCATCATTGCCATTTTCGGAACCGCATTTGGGCCCTTTGCGTACTGGGGCCAGATCCCGCAACTCTTGATCCGCCTGTTCCCCTTCTCGCGCGGTCTGACGCACGCGTACTGGGCGCCCAACGTGTGGGCCATGTACTCTTTTAGCGACCGCGTCTTGCTCTACCGTGAGTCCTCTTGACGCGAAGACCACGTCGTGACCCTCGCTGATCCCTGCAGTGGCGCCCTATCTCAAGCTACCCGTCGACCAAGCCGCAGCCACTAGCCTGACCAGGGGCTTCGTCGGCGACGCTTCGTTCGCCGTCTTGCCCAACATCCCCAAGGAAGCTACGTTCGCTCTGACGCTCCTCTTCCAGCTGGTACCCGCCCCCGGCCCCACCGCATCCTCCCATACCCCGCTAATCCCCGCGCAGGTCCCCCTCGTCAAGCTATTTTTACAGCCTAGCTGGTACTCGTTCATCGGCGGCGTGACGCTGTGCGGCTACGCCTCGTTCCTGTTCGGCTGGCACGTGCACGAGAAGGCCATCTTGACCGTCATCATCCCATTCAGTCTGATTGCGCTCAAGGACCGTCGTTACCTGGGTGCTTTCCGGCCGCTGGCCGTTGCCGGCCACGTCAGCTTGTTCCCGCTGCTATTCACCGCCATGGAGTTTCCGGTCAAGACGGTCTATACCATCTTCTGGCTTGTGTCGCTGCTGCTGGCCTTTGACCGGCTGACGCCCGCGTGCGTTTCCCCATGACTTTCCCCCACGTGCGAGTTATAGATGTAGATATCGCTAACTCACCGCCCTCTTGTAGCTCCCCCCACCCCCGCGTCTTTCTGCTCGACCGCTTCTCCCTCTTCTATATCGCCATTGCTATTCCGCTCATCGCGTACTGCTCGCTCGGGCACTCGCTTATCTTTGGCACGCGCTTGGAGTTCTTGCCGCTCATGTTCACGAGCGCTTACTCAGCGCTTGGCGTCGTAGGCAGCTGGGTCGGCTTCTTGATAGTATATCTCGCGGCCTAGACGGGTGCTGTTCTTCTTCAAGGTGAGTGTGTAGGGGTAGATGTGGCTGAGGATGAGTGGAATGCTGTATGATGATAAAAAAAAGTCTTGCTTCTCTATTCGCTACAAATACCAAACGACGTGCCTTTCTGCAGTCCCGCCCCGTATCTGACTCAACGACGTGCGCACTCGAATCAGTACTCCACTAGTGTAGAGCTGCCATGCATTCTAGATAATCCCGCTTGCTTCATCCCCCCACCTTATAATGTCTTCGCGTACATCTCGCCCGCCTTCCCAGCAGCACGGACACAGCCCCGGCATGCCATACCATCCACGCGCGCCCTTTCTCGGCGCTGTGCAGTGCAGTGCGCATCGGGGCTTGAATCTGTTTTGGATCCAAATCTAAAACCGCACTCTAGGTACGCAGCCAATGCTGCACTGACAATCAAACGCAGATATCAATACCTCGTTCGTACCCGTGACTTAGCTGCTGCTGCTGCTGCTGCTGTAGGAGGGGAGGGGTTTTGAGGAAGGGATGTTTTGCGGTCAGGTCACTTGTGGTCACGCTTGTGGTTAGACACGATGGGAATGCAAAGAAAATTCGATTGTGGACGTGCTGTTTGTATACTGTCTGTGTCTACCTGCTGCTGCTGCTGCTGCTGCTGCTAGTGCTGTCGCGGGTTCAGCTGTTGCAGACATGAGACAGTGAAGTTACGCTAAGCTAAGCTAAGCTGTGCTGCTCTGCTTTGAGCTGCGCTGCTGCAGAAAGAGAAAAGAAGGAACAGAGAGTATGCAAAGAAAACTGAAGCAAGTAACCAACCAAGCAGCTAGTGCCGGAAAGCAAAGAGCCGTGCAGATGGTATGCATGCCATGCAGCTGAGACAGAAACAGCAAGCTGTTTGTTTGTTTGCGCCGCGACAAAGCCAAGCCGAAGCTGGGATGATCCAAATGAGCAAGCAAAAGCAAAAGCAAAATCAAAGTTAAAAGCAAGATCGAGAGAGCAAGTCAACGACCAGATCTCGGCGCGATGCAGTGGTCTAACCGCTGTGTCGTGTCGTTCCATGTCGTTCCGTGAGCAGCTGAGAAGCAAACCGTGAAGAGTGAAGAACACTGGTATCGTCGAGAAGAAAGGAAAAGCAAAAGCAAAAGCAAAATTTGAAAGGGAATGGAAGGGGAAGGGGAAGGGGAAGGGTGAAGAACGCATGTGATGGACGTGAGTGAGCAAGCTGTCCGTCTGTCCGTCTGTCCTTCTGTCCGTGATGAATCCAATCGTCCGTCCAAGTATGCCTCCAAGCTAGCACTGGCCGGGTCCTGAAGCACGTCTAGCCGCGCGTCTTGCCGTCTCTATCTTCGCGTTTGTGTGTATGCGAACAAGCAAGTGTCTGTGTGTGTGTGGTGTTGGATGGGGGTGTATGCAAGCAAGTGTGTTGTGGTGTATGCGAGTTTGTTCAGCCGAGTAGAAGGGGGTGCATGAGGCGTGGTATCCAAACCTGTGCCTTGTGTGACATGTGTGGTCGTCTTTCATCGCCTGCTAGGAGTGCGTGACTGACTGACCCACTGACTGACTGTGTGTGTTGGATGAAAGGCGGGGTGTGACTAACTGACAAACGGTGCCGAAAGACGGCGAAGTCGAAGTCGATCATCCAAGTCTTCATGTTGAGGGAGGCGGGTGTCGAGAAGAGAAGAGAAAAATGCCGGCCGTAGAAGAAGCAGCCCTTCAGCCAACCCTAACACAGTCCCTACACAACTTATGGCAGCACCAGCCGCGCGAGCAAATCTCAAACTCCCAGTACGTCTCCGCCTCGCAACAGCAGCAGATCCACCTGTGCCAGGCCGGGATCAGAATTCTGCCGTCCTGGCCGACGCCTCGCTCGCGGATTGTCAGCGTCCGTTCCGGCTCTTCAGCATCGCGCCACGTCTCGGCCACCAGGTCAGGGCGGCGCACGCCTGCCGGCGCTGGAGAGGGAAAGGGCAGCGCGTAGGGCAGCGCGTAGGGGCCCAGGCGGGCGGGGTTGATAACGGGGAGGGCGTCGTCGCTGTGGTGCGCGAGGGTGCGCGCGTCGTCGGTGCCGTAGGAAGGGAAAGGTGCGGGCAGGGCGGCAGCGTCGGTGTCGTCGACAACAGGCGCATAGGTAGGAGTAGCGACAGAGACGGAGGATGCGCTCGCGTTCGCCTTGCCCTTGCCCTTGTCTTTGCTCTTGGTGGAGTCGCTGGCACTCGAACTGCCGCTGTGGCTGGGATGCAGAGCCGCACCGCTGGCGCTCACGTCTTCGCGGCTCTTGTTCCGCCGGCCCAGCAGCGCCTTGTTGAGGGCTTGCGAGAGCGCGGCGCCTGCCGACGTCGCGTCTTGCATGTAGCTGCGCGCGGTGCGGTGTTCGGTGACGGGCGGGAGGGCCGAGGGCGCAGACCAATGCGAGGACGCCGTAGCTGAAGACGAGACAGAAGAGTCAGCAGCCGAGTTGCCAGGAGGAGTGGTAGTCGCGCTCTTTGCGACGGGGATCTTGCTGCTGCTGCCGCCCGCGAGGGCTTTGGCGCGGTCTTTGTCGGCTTTGGCGCCGCGGCGCTCGAGGCGACGGCGTTCGGCGCGGGTGAGCGGCTTGTCGGTAGCGGTGTCTTGGTTGTTGTCAGCAGCAGTATCAGAAGAAGAGGCGCTGTCGCTGCGGACAGGCTGGTTGGCGCTCATGTCAGGCATGTTGGGCGCGGTGTCAATGGACGCGTCGTGTGCGTGGGCGGGGGCGGCAGAGAAAGGCACCGGGGCGGAGATTGTGGTGCGGTTGCGCGAGTGAAGGTGAGCGCGGCGGCGGGGGGATGGCGAGGCGGCGTCGTCGGCGTCGGGCGTCTGGCGAGGACGGCTGGGACTGCCGAACGTGAAGGCCGTGTCGAGGACACCGGCGTTCCTCGGGATGTCAGAGTGAGGTGAGGTCTCGGCCGGACCTCCCTCGACGACGGCACCGCCCTCGCCCTCACTGCCAGCGGCAGGGCCACCAGCAACAGCAGCATCAGCAGCCTCAGCAACCGGGCTGACGGCGGCGGGCCGCTCGTACGCAAAGTCGCGTACGACGACCGTCGGGTCGTCCTCCGCCATGAGCTCGCCGTCACCCATGACGGGCCAGTTGCCGAAGCCGCCACTGCTGCGCTGGCGGCGCTCGCTGGGTGAGGACGGGAGCAGCGCCGCGTCCAGGTCGATCGCGACCTCCTCCTCCGCCTCCTCGAACACCCTGTTGTCCGCCATCTGCGGACCACGCACTGTTGGTGGTGGTGGTGTGGCCGTGGAGCCTGTAAAAGTGAAGTGTTACATGGCTGGACTCAAGATAAGGGATCGATACATCACTTACAAAGTTTGATGCCGGCAGAGGCGGCAATGGCGGCGTAGGTGGTGAGGGAGGTTGCGAAGGAGACATGTTTAAGGGCAGAGGAAGCGGTTTATATAGACTGTGGGGACACGTGATGGCATGGTGAATGCGAAGTGAAGTGAATGAAGTGAGGTGAAAGACGGCAATGATGACATTCACTGTCCCGTGATGGAGATCAACAGTATGTGACGGAGATTATATTCGCAGCGGCGCGGTTAGGGTATGGGGACGGTGATACGAGAGGCTGCTATGGGGAAATGAACTACTTCAAGGGGGGTGAGTCTTTCAGAAACGAGAGGTGGTTAGGCCTCATTGACACCACTGGGGCTGGCAGGGCCTGGGGGTACTGAAGTCGATACAGTATGATGATGTCTATCTTTGACAAGCGGCTACAGAAGTATCGAACCTTACAATAACTGTTAGTGTCCAACTAGATGGTACATACCTAAGGCTCCATGGAGTATTGACCTACACTGACATGAAAAGACATCTGACATGGTGCAAAGTGATTGATTCCAGCTGTGCGCAAAGCTCTCCATGCTACTGCGAATTGACAAGATCAAAATTCGGCTAGACAACGATCGTTAGCCTTCAAATGATTCCGGCGTCGAGTGCGTGAGAAGACTAGCATTCCGACAGCGAGTGCCCCCTGCAAGACCCCAGTGACCTTGCCCTGAAAATGACGACACGAACACAGTGTCAACCCTACACATAGCACGACAATGAATGGAGGCTCTTGTTTGCAAGTGCTTGCTGACCAGGTGGAGAAAGTCCGAACGTGGGTATAGTACGGGCGCCAAAATCCAGGAGAAACCAAACCCGACAGCAATCGATCCCTTGCTCCTTTGCATGCTATTCCTACGTCCCAAAACGCCTCGTCCGGTGACTCCAAACTACAGACCGCCTTGGATGGCAAATGAAGAGAGAATAAGCACAAAGGTGCTGATCAGAGCCCAGACGAAGGGGATCCAAGTCGACATGCTGAAATAGCCGGAGTTGTACACGCCGCCGAGTCTGCGCGGCCGTCAGCAACCACCTCCTACACGTACACTAAAGAGCACTCACAGCCCTCCGACGATGCTACCAGCTATTATCGCCTCGATACCGCCAATGATGGCGTAGAGCAGCGGCACGATCCAGATGACGCGCCAATTCCGCCATTGCACGACGACGGCATAGCCAGCGGTGGCCAGGTGGACGGCACCAAAGCAGATGAGGGTCCAGGTAAAGGTAAAGCGCCAGACATCGCCGGCGTGGTAGAGGTAGTAGGACTGGGGCCCGCGGATGGGAAAGGGCCAGTAGAGCGAGGGGAACGGGGGCGTCTCGTAGTCGAGCGGGGCGACGCTGTTCTGGCGGTAGATGAAGCTGGGCATGGTGTCAGCGGGGGCGCGCAGGGGCAGCGGGGGGGTGGGCGACACTCATACCTCATAGTCGAGCGCGCCCGCGACTTTACATTATCATGGTCGCGCTGGTGATGGAACGACTGACGTCGGCTCCCCGGACTTTGGCGCGCCCGCATCGGCCCTACCCGGCGACCTGATCCTCCGCTCATCATCATCGCATTTGACGACGCAAGCATCTCAGCAGTCATGCCCGCCGACAGACTCCTCGGGACCCTCCTGCGCTCCCTGCAGACCTACGCCGACCAGCAGGATACGCCCAGGTGCATCCGCCTAACGCTTCCATTCATTCCTTCCCCGCTCGCTCCGCACGAGCTAACAGCAACCTCTCAGGCTTCTCGGAACCGCTGCCTCGCTGCTCACCACCCTCACCAACCCCCTAAATATCCAGCTCCTGACCGCCCAGCTTCTCCTCGCCCCCGCCATTTGGGACCGTCCCGACGGCCTGCACACCTGCCTGCGCTTCGTCGGCCTCTTCCACTCCGCTGCCCGCGCCGTCCTCAAGCACGACCGTGAAGTCCGCCATGGCACCGCCCCGCCCCTCATGCCGGGGCAGCCCCCCGTCGGCGGCGGCCTGTCGACTGACGACTGGGTGCGCGCTGTGGTGCGCGGCGCTGACGAGCGCTCTCAGCGGTGGAGGCATCTGATGGTGCTAAGTGGGCTGCTGCTCGCCTCGGCGGCGGGCATAGAGGAGGAAGCCGTGTTGTCGAACTCGCTGCGCTCGACTTTGGAGGGGGCGTTGGTGCAGGCAACAAACTTGGCGCTGGTCGAGGCGAGAGACGGAGATGAATTGGGCGCGCATTGTATTGCGATGGTGTTGAACCACGTCTTCCCCACCTTGAGAGAGGCGGAGAGAGCGCAGTTCGATTATGATCGCTTGTTGCCCGTCTTGCTTGGGACGGCGTTCTTCTCCACGGAGGGATTCCAGTCGGCGTACTTTTTAGGCGCCGTGGATCCAGATGTGAGAGAGGTAAAGCCGAGGAGGTTTAATTGGTCGGTGGGTAGTTGCCAGGATTATGCGGTCTTGAGAGTAGTGCTGATTTCAATTTACAGGCAGAATCTCATTCTTACCAGCAATTGCAGAGCATCATGCGCCGACCGCTGGTCACAAATATGGGACCGCTCTCCAGGCTGATAGCCCATGCCGTGGAGAACGTCAGGGATCCGTGGCTGATCCAGACAATGATGGATGACCTCGCCGGCTTTGCGCGCGCGCTCTGCCTCCAATGGCGGCAAAACAAGCTGTCCGGGATAGATTCTTCAGAAGAAACTCTGTTCCTCGAAGAAGAGACGGTTAGAATCACCCTCCCTCTCCTTTGGCGGATGCTCAAAGCAGCATTATTCGCGACCATGATCATTCTCCGCAGCGCACTCGGCCGCATGCTGAATGACGGCGCCCTGGCAGCAGACAGCGGTAAGCATCCAACCCTCTTTCCCCTAGCAACAAAAACTCACGCATCTAGTCGCGCCGGTGCTCGCGGCACACGCGCTGCACACGCTCCGCCACCTCTACTTCATCACATCGCGCCTCGGTGCCGACTCCTTCTCACAATACACCTTCAGCTACCTCACAGCCATGGACATCCTAACGCAATATCCCATGCAATCCGACGCCTTTATCAAAGCCATCAAGCCCCCTACAAGCGGCCACATTCCGCCCCATCCACTCGACCGCACCCTTGACCTCTACTTCCTGAACACAGCTGAGCATTTTACGCTCGCAATCTCTCCCTCCACAGCGGAAGATGTCATCATCGCGGCTGCGAACCCCTACCTTGGCGCCGGCGGCTCTGCGCGTCTCGTTCCCCTCTTCGAGGCCGCTCATAGTGTCATGCTTGCCGTGCTGGTCGCTCCCGCTGCCGCGCCCCTCGCGGCCCGCCTCCTCCCCTTTTACGCCACGGCGTTGTTCGCGGCCTTTCCGCAGGCTCTTTCCCCCCGCCAATTCCGCCTCGCGTTTCGCACGCTTTTGCGCGTTGCCGCGCCGCCCGCGCCCCTCGCGCAGCAACTCCCGGACTTGCCGGCCGTGCTACTGGAGATGCTGCGGTCGCGCGCGCTCAACGCGCCGGCTACTCCCCTCCCTTCTCCTGTCACTACCGCTTCTACTCCTTCCCCCCCTCCGCCAATGGTTGATGCCGCTGACCCCGCCTTCACGCCAACGGAACAGTCAACCCTGACCCTCACACTCTTGGATGCCCTCCCCCAGCTCCCAGCACCCCTCCTGGACGAGTGGCTACCCCTCGCTGCGGACGCGACGAACCGCGTTGATGAGGCGGGTGGGGCGCGCGCAGCTGTGAGGAGAAGGTTCTGGGAGGTGCTGGTAGGTGGGGAGATGGATCCGGAGAGGGGGCAGGTGGCTGTGGCGTGGTGGTGCTCGAGGGGAGGGAGGGAGCTGGTTTTGTTTGGTGAGGGTAGCGAAGAGGTGGAGGGAAAGGAGGGAGAGGGAGGGAGGTATTTGATGTCTGGGGCGCTGGGGGGTGGGGAAGAGAGCGGGGAGAGGGAGGAGGGGAAGGCGAGGGAGAGCAAGCTTTAGATTGTGGTGGGCTGAGAGATGGATGGATATGAATGTACGATATACCAAATAAGATAATACCCCAATGGCTAAGTTTTTTGTATGACGAAACTCCGGGTAGCAGTTGGGTAGACTGACATGGACGGACCAGACATCGATCCAAGCGATTCGGCGCGGATCCCCCTCGATAACCACCGGTATCGATCTCGACCCCGTCCACACCACGCCAACTCCACAATCCACAATTAAACCCACTCGACATCCTCGGTGCCGTCAGATGCGCAGCCCGCACTTGCAGCAGCAGCAACAACACACAGCACACGCCATCGCCCGCTTGCCCGCAAGGCCACCTTTCCGCCGCCACACGTGCGCTACCAAGCCGCAGCCATGAGCAAGATGTGGGAGGTCGATCCCGAGACCAGGAGCAAGGTGAGGAGCAAGCGTCAATCCTTGAACAGGGCGACCCGACAACTGACGCGAAGCCGCTCCTAGCTCCTGGAGATCCAGAAGGAAAACGGCAACAACTCGTGCGTCGACTGCAACGCGCCGAGCCCCCAATGGGTATGCCGGCCTCCTCTCCCTTCCCTCCCATGCGCGAGAGCTGACGACTCTCCTGCTTGGTAGGCCTCGCCCAAGTTCGGCATCTTCATGTGCCTGAACTGCTCGGGCATCCACCGCGGCCTGGGCGTGCATATTTCGTTCATCCGCAGCATCACCATGGACGCGTTCAAGGGCGCGGAGCTCACGCGGATGAAGAACGGGGGCAACAAGCCGTGGCAAGACTTTTTCAACGCGCACAGCAGCAACCAGCTGGAAGGGCGCACGTTTGACGACTGCACCATCAACGAGCGCTACGACAGCGAGGCGGGCGACGAGTGGAAGGAGCGGCTGACGGCCAAGGTCGAGGGCAAGGAATACGTGCCGGGCCCGAAGACGGAGCGGCGCGCGGCGCCGGCGAAGAAGGAGCCCGCGCTGGGCGGGACGCGCATGCCGGGCAGTGGGCCGAGCAGCCGCGCGCAGACGCCGCTGTCGCCCGACCGCTTCGAGAGCGTGCCCGGCCGCGCCGCGTCGCCCAGCTTGGGCACTGCCTCGCTCACCAAAAAGGCCCAGAACGAGGCCTACTTTGCGCGCATGGGCGCCGAGAACGCCAACCGCTCCGCCGACCTGCCCCCAAACCAGGGCGGCAAGTACGCCGGCTTCGGCAGCGACCCTACCCCCGCTGCTGGCAGCTCGGCCGCTGGCCCTGGCATCCCTGGCATCGACGACTTCCAGAAAGACCCCGTTGCCGCGCTGACGCGTGGCTTTGGCTGGTTCAGCACCACGGTGCAGAAGACGGCCAAGACGGGGTATGACGGCTGGGTGAAGCCGGGCATGGAGAAGGTGCGTTGTACAACCATCCCCCACCCACCATCCGTACTACCACCCATACCGCCAAACCACACTCATCCCAGACCCTCCACTAACACACAAACACAAACAGATCGCAGAAGCAGACCTAGCAACGCAAGCGCGCATGACAGCGCTCAACCTCGGGCAACAAGTGCAGACGAACTCGCGCTCCGCGGCCGACGCCTTCAACCGCTTCGTCGAAGGAAACGACACGCTAGCGCCCCAAAACGGCAACGGCAACGGCAACGGCAGTGGCGGCAGCGTGCGGGGTGGAAGCGGCGCGGGGGGCCCGGCGCCCGAGCGCCGCGACTTCTGGGAGTCGTTTGGCGCGGCGCCCAAGGGGCCCAGTGCCGAGAAGAAGAGCTTCTGGGATGAGTTTGCAGCGGTGGGCGAGGAGAGGGCCGCGGCTGCGAAGCCCAGGACTAGTACGTCGAGTGTGGGGACGGCGGCGATGAAGAAGGGCGGTGGCAGTGGGGACGGGAGCGCGGCTAAGAAGGATGATGATGGGTGGGGGGATTGGTGAGTGTGGAATGAATGCAAGGAGAACTGGTTTGGTGGGTTTGGTGGTTGGTTGGTTGGGGTTTTAGCGTGCGTGTTGTTGGCGGATGGAGCGGGCGCGCTGCTTTTACGAGATTTACCTTCTTCTTCTTCTTCTTTTTCTTCTTCCTGGTTGACTGAACGGATGGGACGACGGACAGACGGACGGGTTGAAGGATCGACGAAGCACAGATGAAGGAAGGGAAGATGGGCGGGTCAAGCGCGCAGATGCAGCAACTATAAGTGTTGTTTAAGTGCCTTTTTTGAGACAGTTAGGTTAAGGCAGCTATGCAGACCCGGCGGTTGCGGCTTGGTGGATGTGAAGAACGTACGTATAAACTATGGTTAGATAGAGTAGCTGGCTGCTAGCTAGTTTTGTGGTCTGCTTGGGGTGGCGAATACGTTGGTATTTACTTCTTCCTAATCAAGTATAAAACGTACATACAAGCACAACCCCCCTCCCCCATATGCACAATCTACACGACCACCTACCTACTCAGCAAAAGACTCACCCACAGCCGGCGCACAATCGGGCCAAAGCCTCGCCTCAGCAAACGGATCCGCCTCGCCCATAAACTGCTGCCAAAACGCGGGATCCCACAAGTCCTCGTGGTCGAAATCCGGGACGAGCAACAGGTCTGGGGCCGGGGGCGGCGGGGGTGGGCCGCCCACGTTGAGCGTGGCAGGGTTCCTAGGCGGCTGCAGCACGTCGACGCCGCGGATCTTGGCCTCGTTCCACGCGCGCACGAAACGCAACTTGCGCGCAAAAAACGCGAAGAGCGGGTTATCGTGCACGGGGACGCGCGCGGCGCTGCGGGCTTGCTCGTAGCGCGCGGCCGCGTCGTCCATGGTGCTGCTGAAGGCGATGCGCGCGCGTGCGTACTCGAGGTCCCAGCCGGGGAAGTCGAGGCGCGAGAGCTTCGAGAGCACGATTGTGGCGAGGGTGAGCTGTGAGAAGTGCACGAAGGGGAGGTCGTAGTAGTCGCTTGGGGGTAGCGCCCGGAAGTGTGCCATGAATGCTTGGCTGCTTTGGAGGAGCGTGTTGAACATTAGGAGACGTCGGTACGTGAAGTCTCCGTATGTGTGCGTCGCGGGGAGGGAGCTGAGGCTGAGCTCCCACAGGTAGATTGAGGCGTTTGTGTAGTGCATGAGGAGCGTGGCTGGGTTGGTTTGCACGTCAGTGTCTGTTTGCTTGATGGGTTGGTTCGTTTTGGTCCATGGTAGGTATACACAATGTTCAGAGAAGGTTTGCACAGACGTTACTTGCAATATCACAATGCGCTGGTAAACTTACTATCCTGGGCGAGGTCAGGAGGCAGAGCTTTCCTTGCAGCCTTGAGCTCGCCATCCAGAGACCACACGAACATGGCCACAGGGAGCGGCGTATCAGGCGTCAGATCATCGACGGGGCATTTGCGCTCGATGCGCTGAACAATGCGTTGGACTCGCACGAGCTCCAGTAGGTAACGATCAGAAGGGTACTCCTTTGCCTGCTCAAGATCCCGACAGACCTCGTCAAGTTGAGCAGTGAAGCGCATAGACTCGTACCGCTTAGCCCACTGAGCCACGCTGCAGGGTCATGCGTCATCAGCAAGACCGAGTCACCGTAGCCTTGACGGTGCAAGCTTACATGGTAGTCAGGTAAAAGGCGCCCAGCAGCGCTCTTCGTTCCTCTGACGTGCGTAGCTCCGAGTTTGCCAACTCTCCATGCGCAGACCTCGTGATGGCGCTTTCGAGCCTCTCGCTACCGTAGGCTCTTGACGACCTCTTCAGCCCGAGATCGATTACCAAGCCGACAATCAGCTGCAGAATCATCGTCGTGTTCGGGTTCACGAAGAGATGGGGGTGATACCATGCCAGCCAGACGAGTAAACCCTGGAGCATGTCCAAGCTCTTTTCGCCGCGCATAAGCAAGCCATGCGCCACGCTTGCCATCAGTCCGTCCCCAAGCTTCCGCTGATGGTCCAGGTTTTGGTATGAGGCGACAGTGACAATGGCATTGAGGAGGAAGGGCTTGGTGGCCCGAAGCTGGGCAATGGTGGTGCCCTGTGGGATGACGACGAAGGGGAAGTAGGGGGCCATGTATGTCTGGAATTGGTGCAAGCAGCGTTCTGCGACCGCGTCGGACGGTCCGGAATTCGCGGTTGGAGGGCATGTTTGACTGGGAGACTTGTCTGGGCGGTGCGCAAACACTGCTCCTCGCTCGCCTTCGATAGGTGGTGAAGGACGGAATTGATAGTTGGAACTGGAGCTAGCATCCGGTACTGCTGGTGCGGGGTCGCTGCGGAGAGTCTCAGTGATGTTTGTGTAGTTATTTGTATTGCTAGACGACGTGGGAGAGGAGGCTTGGTTGTTCGACAGCAGGTTCACGAGCTGATCCAGCTTTTGCTCCAGGCGTTTGTTTCTACGAGAGTAGGTAGATCAGCGTCCCGGATTGACGGATCCGGTGATGGCGGGATCTCGGTACTTCGCTGTCGGTGCCTTCCTCTTCTTCGCCGCCGGAAGGTCTCTCACACAGGCTCTCTTGAGCCTATGACACCTGCCGGGCCAAAAGTATAAGTCGCACGCACGGCCATGAGCGGGGTACATACGGACATACCGCTCGCAGTCATTACCTGGTCTGCTAACGCACTTTGTCTTGGCAACGGCGCAGCTTTTGCAGGCCCGTGACAGGTTGCTCGACTGCTCCATAATATTCCGGGCGTCGTGAGGGTTCTTGCAGGACGTCAGTCAGCCGGCATGGAAGTCCTGAAGCGGAGTCTCCGGCCCCCGCTCTCCGGGTCTCCCCCCAACCCCCCGTCTCCTCGGAACCAACGGCCCTGTCTCTCAGCGGGCTCCCAAGATTTTCAGCCGCGCCATCAGGCCAAGGAGGAGCACCGAAGGAACGGGCCCACCGGATATTGGGACGCCACGGTGGAAATCGCCTGGCCCTGCAAAAACAAAAGAACGCTTCCCGGAGAGCTAGGGTCGCGCACCAACGCTGCGCCGCGGGACCGTTAGACTACCTACACTGCTAACGGCGCGATAGAGGATCATTGATTGCATCCCACGGCTTGTGCTCTCAAACCGGGGTGTCGAGTGTTGCCGCCCTGGCGATATTAATCCTACAATGTCCGCTGCTTTCGGTAATCGAATGATTGCTGTCGCTAATCTAACTCTACTGGAATCCATGGGGTGCATTTTCCAATATCGTATCCGAGACCGATACTGATGAGTAAACTGGCCGTCTCTCCTCCCTTGACCGCTCCAACACGCATACGCAGCCCCCAAGACATATGGCTCAGCTCTCTCACATAACCTCCAACACGACACTCCACCAGCGGCCCCCCCCCTCACAGTCTCTCTCCCTGCGCGGAGCCCCCAGACCCACCCCCAATAATCAACCCGTTACGCCGACGCTCATCCACCAGTCGAGACCTCCAACACCCACGCAGCCCCTCCTCCACCACGCACCGAACCCGAGCAAGGGCGGCGGCGGCAGTGGCGACGATCATCCCACGCCCACCCGGTCTCTGACGCCCCCAGGCCTGTCTGCTCCCTCTTTTCTCTCTCCCTCCGCCGGCAGAAGCGGAGCGCCACCGTCGTCCCCGTGCTCGCTGAAACACGCGGCCCGAGGGCCCGAGGCATCCAAAACGCCTGGCTGGTCGGCGCGCGCAGCGCTCATCGCCGCCCATGCTGTTTCGCTGGCCGTTTGGGACATTTGTCGGAGGCGTGGCCCAGCTATTGCGCCTGGCCCTCGGGCGCTTCCCTGCGCAGGTCGCCGATTGCGCGCGAGCCAGCCCTCCCCCCTCGCCCCCTCCCTCCCGAGTCCCGAGTGTCCCAGCCCTGCGCCCCTCATCCTCATCATCATCCTCATCATCGTCATCATCATCAATGGGGCCCTTCCTGAACATTTGCCTTTTTCGTGAAATTGCCCCTGTTGGCCCTGGCGCCTGCCGCGTGCTCCCCTATTGTACCGCATCCCCCCTACCGACCGCCCTTTGTTGCCCTGCCCATCGAGATCTGGCTCGTGTGCGCTTCATGCCGCGGAAGCCATAGCCGCGCACCTGCATCAACGGGCTCGCGTGGCGAAACGGGGCGCTTGCGTCGTGGCCCCGAGGGGAGGGGGCGTCTTTGCAATGCTGCGGGCTCGCACAGCCACACAAGGCCTTTTATAGCAGCGCTGCCCTATAACGAGTGGGCGATCTGGACCCAGAGCCTCCCATATCTCTCTCTCTCTTCCCCCATGCTTGTTTCCAATCGCGATCTGGCAAAATGCCCCATGATGCCTGTGATTTCGGAAAACATGCGAGCGCGCCCACGCCTATCATGCAGTTACGTACTTTGAGCTAAAAATTGCCGTGAGGCGCTCTTATCCCTATGCTTGCCTATAGGTAGGCCGTCCATGGCCAGACATCGTTTTCTCTGGCCTCCACTTCTTGAGGCTCATGTTTCCGGATCTGGCAGCATCCGCTAACCGCCGGCGACTTGCCTACCTATCAGCACGCCTGACGCAGGTATTGATGGCGCGAATGGGCGTCGGCTGGTGGAGCCGTCGTCTTGCCTGTGGAGACATGGTATCCACGTCTGGTTCCAGAGGCGCGGTGAGGCGCATGCAGTGTAAGCTGCAGCTGCAGCTGGATGCGGCAACATCATACTGCTTGGCGTTGCCTGGCTGCCGCCAATGGCAAGCCAAAGTCAAGCCTATTCACGCGCTTTAGTACGACTACTACGTAAAAAGAAAGTGCAGTTTTTTGACGGGCGTGTGCACAGATGCAATACTTTCGGACTGAGCTCTCTATCAACACCATTTTTGCTCCTTCTCGCATCTTCCTCAATCAACAGGGGTCGTCCATTCCTCCGGCCGGAGATTCTGTCAGCCAGTGTCTGCGTGCTCGGATTGGCTAAAGTCGACATTGTGCGTCCTATTTTGGCGCAAGCTAGTTTGCTAGGTCGTTGCTTCCGCTGACAGGGTGCAAGTTTCTAGAAAAAATCCCGCTTTCTTAGCTGCTTACTTTTACAACGCCATGGACTCTGATTGGGCACGTCATCCCACGTGGAGACGAGGCCTGTCCCGTCCCGCTCCCAAGAAGACGGCAGACGGGTCGCGGGTGCCAATTGCTGCCGTGTGGATTGTAGCCGAGCAGATTGGCTAGAGCATAGCTCTCAGCTGTGCCGCGCGGGCGTTGCAGCGACTACTGGGAGCCGTTTCTCGTAAGATCAAGGGGCTCTCTACTCGTATTATACGAAAACTGCGAATGCGAAGTGACCCGAAGGCGTGGCTTGGATGCGGTTAGCTGTCCGCGGCATCACGCGAGTGGTCGACCACAATGGGAGGCGCGGGATGGGGTCCAGCCACGCGGCTCGTTGTCGTATCGCCCGCCGAGATCATGGAGTACCTAGATTCGCGCAGTGGTGGTGCGGCTGACAACGTGATTCGCCATGGCCTCTGACCTTGGTAGAATGCAGTAATTCTCAAGCAATCCCCGCGAAGATCGTCGCCGGATGCTGCATGCATCCTGCACTCGGAATTATTGGAGACACCAACAACAATGGCTTTCACCTATCGTTGGTCGACGAACAGTGAAAAAGATCCGCACTGCTAAGAGTAGGTCCCAATCACCTCAGCTGCCTGCTTCCGACGGACATGGTGATCGACTCTCTGTAGACTGCAAGCCATTGCGTCAGAATTGGGGGAGTCGGTGCCAAGGATGCGCGGTGGTGAGCACTAAGGTTCTTAAAGCCGGCGGCGGATAATGATCCGATGCAAAAAGGTCCACGCCAGGCGGCTGGACTCTTGGGCGTACACTAACCTTTAGCAATCTTTCGATCTTGAAAAGTACGCACGTAGTCGATGTCTTGCCTGAAAAAGGTTAAAAAGCATAATAGCGTCTCGGGTTTTCCTGGTTCATTTTTTGGGGTGTCGTCCATCCCGCGACTCGCGCGAGGGCACAGCCGTCAAAGGCTAGAGCTGCCATGCGGCAATTCGTCTTGCCGGCAATTGAAGTAGAATCCAGGTCCATGCTCTTGGGATTGCACTGCCGGATGCAGCTGTTGCGGCTCCGCATCGATGTGTATCGATAGGAGGGGGAGGGGTCGATGAGAACGTCAGGCTGTGCGTGTGTCTTTTCATTGCTCTCAACAACAACAACAACAACAACGGACGTCTCACAGAACAAAGGACGGACATGCATGTGACGGTGCTAAGGGTATCTCCGGTCCGGGCGCTGGAAATAGGGTTCCTCGTGCAGCGAGCGATTCCAGAATCCTTCCCGCGGTGAGTGGGGTGGCGATGCGAGAAAAGGTACGAGGTAGGTCGATGGAGGTTGGAGGATTGATTGAAGTCAGTCACGGAGGATGTGAGATTCCGAGTGGTATGACGAGGCCAAACGCGCGATCTGCGGAGGGAGATGATGATCTCTGCGGGTAGGCAACACGCACTTGATGCCCCCAAGCCCCCAAGCCCCCCTGGCCCAGGGACCACCAACTTACTACGGATTTGGCCGAGCACGCGGGCTGACTCGCGCCGGGGCGCACGAGCTCTCGACCAGGCACAGACAGGCAATCTCTCCGTGGCGCTTTTCATGCCTAGACCGGCAGTCGCGGGCATTGGAGTGCTGGAGCATCCAACAGCGCCGAGGAGGAGCCTGGTTCGCAGCTTAATCCAGCGGGATGCAAATACACATAGTGTGCCCAGCTCCCGCAGCTGCTGCTCTGCTTCTGATACATCTCCACTCCCTCTCCCTGTCGTTCCCAATCCACCACGTCCGTCCGGGGTGGAGCTTGCCTGAGAGAGTCCCCTGCCCTGCGATCACCGCGCCCGTCAGGAAGGCCAGATGCTGAAACGGCACTGAGGAAGCGAACAAGCCAGGCCTTCCCAGAGAGGCCGCCTTCATTAGTTCCATGTTCAAGGACGTTGATCAGCTGTCCGTTCCCCGATTCACGTACATACCCTCCTCCCGCGCCACCGACATAGAAAAGAACCTGTATGACCTAGGCTCGTTCGTCAAATCCGCCAAACCCAGCAAGAAGAAAGCCCCGGGCTCCCTGACGGCAGACAACTGTAACCCTCCCACGCCTCCCGCCCAGGGTCCAGTCTTGACCGCCAACACCATGGCTAAGAAGTATCTGTCTCACCTAGGTCTGCGCTCATCACACTCGCTCTCCGTCCGCCAGCCCCAACAAGAACCGCGCTCCCGGGCAGACTCTGCAACTTCGGCCTCGCCCCGAGCCATGGCCAGCTCCATCGACGCCGACCGCTCCCGCAACCGCCGGGATCGCACCTTCATTGGCGCTGAATGCGCCGTGTGCGAGGAACCCCTCGAGCACACGCTCCGCGGCGAGCGTATCCTGCAGCTCTCCTGCGGCCACGTCTCCCACGAGGCCTGTTTTTGGGAGTACATTCGCGAGTTTGAATCGCAGTACTGCCCCACCTGCAATGCGCCGCTGGCTCTCGACACGAGCAGAGGCGGCAACGTGCTGGACCTGGGTATGCGTCAAAACAACCCCGCACCCACCTCTGCTCCTCAATCACTAACCTTGCGCGCGCAGAAAAACTGAGCAACATTGTCCGCGCTGCACAACCACCCGCTCCCCCCACGGATCCGCTACCGCCGCCTCCGCCCCAATCGCAACACCGCCCCAGCATCGCCAGCTCTGCCACGCCATGGGATGCCCAGACCATTCACACCGTTCACACCGTCCACACCGTCCACCCCGACTACATGGAGGGGCGCCGCCCCTCGGTCGCGACTGTCGACACGCGGGACCCGCGCATGATGAGCAGCCACCACAGCACCTACAGCCGCGACGACAGGTCGCATAGAGTCGAGTCGCAGTCGCGCGCCGCGCACGCGAGGAGTGATAGCGGTGCCACCGGTGCCACCGGTGCTACCGGCGTTGCATCCTCTGGTGACTATCCCGTCGACCCGACTGGCCGCAGGCACGACTACGACCTCCACTCCATGGAAAGCAGCCTGAGCCCCCGCACTTCCGTAAAGAACCCGATTCCTCCGCCGCTCGTTACTGTCCGCAGCGAGTTCCCCACCATCAACCGGTCCCGCCAGCAGCAGAGCCTTACTTGCCTGATCACGATCGAGGTGCCAGAGGGCAAGTGGAGGCCCGATCCGGCCGACATGCGCGATGTTCCGCAGACGCCGTCCGTGGCGGGTTCGGAAGGCTATGGTCGTTCCAAGTCGCCCGCACCTTCGAGAGTCTTGGAGCACATTTACGAGAACAGGGAAGCCCTTGACGAGGCCGCGGAAGAGCTGCAGGCGCGTGTCGACAACTGGCATGGTTTGGACTTTTCGAGGTAAATAACCAGGATTCCCTGACCTGAAGTCAATTGCTCATGTTCGCAGGTTTGGCAAGCTTCGCTTACACGGTCGTGTCCGCGTTGGCAAGGATCGCAAGTCTTGGCAGGATCTCGAGTGCTACCTGTTCTCCGACATGCTCATTTGCGTGAAGGAAAAGAAGCTGAAAGACCACCAGTACAGCGATGCGGGAACGGTAACGAGCAGGAGACCTAGGTGCATCTTGAAGGGATCCATTATCATCAAGAGGCATCTTAAGCAAGTTGAGATGTATCCCGGTAAGTGCAGACATTGCAACTCTCACTCAAATCATGGATTTTCCGTCTGACGACCGCAGATGAGGCAATTTTGACTCTGGGCCTTTCCGTTGCGGAGCTGCCTGCTTTCCACCTGCAATTCCGGGACCTGAAACAGCTCGAGGTTTGGAGGCGCGCCCTTCACGAAATCCACACAGAACCGGCCATGCGCATGCAGGAGTACGAACAGGATACCTCCGGGACCGACGAGGAGGATTACCGCATGTCCAAGAATGGCCGCCGCGTATCTTCCGTGAACTCCTCGTACGGTGCGGCAAGATCAACTGTCACCGCGCCAACCGAGTACTCTCGCCACGAGTCTACCGAACCGAGGATGTCACCGTCTCTTGACCATGTCCCTGTCGACATTGTCGTCGTCGTCCCCGTCTCGTCCTCCATGCAAGGTCTCAAGATTTCCCTTCTCCGCGACACCCTGAGGTTCCTGGTCTCCCACCTTGGCCCCAGGGACAGAATGGGTCTGGTTTCCTTCGGCTCCAGCGGCGGCGGAGTGCCCCTCGTGGGCATGACTACGAAAAACTGGAACGGATGGAACAAGGTTCTGGACTCGATTCGCCCGGTTGGGCAAAAGAGCTTACGCGCAGACGTGGTGGAAGGGGCCAATGTCGCCATGGATCTGCTTATGCAGCGCCGGTCGGCCAATCCTTTGGCCAGTATTCTGTTGATCAGCGACTCTTCAACCTCCGATGTTGACAGTGTTGACTTTGTCGTGTCCCGGGCCGAGGCCGCCAAGTATGTTGATCCTCATTCCGGGCTTTAGCCTGCATGGACTTGCACTGACGTCTAACTTCAACAGGGTCACGATTCACTCATTTGGTCTAGGCCTGACGCACAAACCAGACACAATGATCGAGCTGTCGACGCGTACCAAGGCATCTTACTCCTACGTCAAGGATTGGATGATGTTGCGCGAGTGTGTTGCAGGATTGCTGGGATCGCTACAAACAACGTCGCACCAGAACGTCAAGCTCAAGCTGCGCCTTCCCGAAGGTTCTCCGGCCAAGTTCGTCAAGATTAGCGGAGCGCTGCAGATCACGAAACGGGCTACCGGAAGAGATGCCGAAGCGTCCCTTGGCGACCTGCGCTTCGGAGACAAGAGAGGTAAGTCCACATCAAAGCATGAACGCATTCGGGAACTAACACCCGTATTCAGACATCCTCGTCCAACTGGTCATCACTCCGGATACGGGCTCGCCTGAGCAAGTTCCTCAGGACGCGTGGGAGAGTGTCATCTCTGGCCTGGAGGCCCTTGGTGGTCCCTTGGACCAGGACGACCAGCGCAGCCTGAGCATCGAGGAAGTTCCTCTGATCCAGGCGGATCTGACGTATGGCGACATCATACGCGAAGGCACCTTGTCTCACCTTCCTCGCCCATCCTTGCTGGCCATTACCATGCTTCCCGGCCACAGGGCCAAGTCTCAGAATGGCAGGCCTGTTACGCCACCGATCCCGCCGCACCCGTCTGTGGTGCAGCGGAGGATGGAGTTGCTCACGTCTGATATGTTGACTCGTGCGCTTACGCTTGTTTCACGAGGACAGCACGAGCGCGCCCATCACTTGCTCAGCGAGACGAGGAGTATCCTGAAGGGACTCGCCAAGGGCGGTCTGCCGCCTCTCCCGCCGCCACCCGCACAGGACAAGAACGGCTCCCCCAAGGCGAATGGCCACCATGACGGCAGTGCGCGCTCCTCGCCGACTGCAGAGTCTCGGCCGCGTACCCCCTCACCTCCTGCGGACAGCCCGTTCTCGCCCGCTGCCGGGATTGATACTAAAGCCATGGCCGCGCTGGACGCGGAGCTCGAATCATCCCTCGAATGGATCAACCACCCGGCAGTCTTTGGGCGCGACTCGCGCAAGGCGGTGCTGCAAGCCATTGGCACCATCAGCTCCCAGCGCGGGTACACGTTCCGCACCCCCGTCGAGTCCCTCTGGGCTGAGCGTATTGCTGGTATCAAGCGCCTCTCAGTGCGGTCTCGCGAGTGGCGCGAGGATGGCTCGGAGGCTCTTATGGAAGAGGTCTAATTCCGAAGCACGCCCGACACATACACATTTCTACCCTAATACTTGGTTTACATTTGCGGATTTTTGACGATTTGCACGATTATATTCCCCCTTGGCTTCGTATATATGTACCAACACGAGTATATAAAAGTAGGGAGGTTTTTTGTTATTTCCTTATTTGGGCGCAAATTACCTGGTTGAGAAGCTAAGAGTATACCCGGTGTTCACTGCGACTAGGAGACTCGGTCACGAAGGGACGGCTCGAAGTGGATGCCCACGAGAAGAAGGAGTAGGAGGAGGAGGCGGCGACGGCGGCGGTGGCGGCACAGTTGGGAATGGATTGCCAATCCTCGTTTCTTTTTCTCTCTCTGTTTTGGAATTTTCTGATTTCTCATCATCGTCGTTGGCCGCCACGCACCTTTTCCCCATGCCCCTGGATTCTTAGCACATGTTTTGTTATCATCTCTCCCTTTTCTGAGACAGTCGCGGTTTTGCGACATTTGGGTTGCGGCGCCCGGACGGATCTCTCTTCTTGTTCGCTTCTTCATTTGGAACTAGATACCACGACAGCAGCGTGCGTCGCTCTGCAACCTTTTTTTGTTTTCCTTTTTTCGGTCTGGCTTGGTTAATTAGGTAGGGACGTTGACGTCCTCATCGCTTGCTTTCCCCCACACCCCCCATTCCTTCCTTCTTTGGTGTTGGGCTGATGGATGCTGGATCACGCTACGTATCCACATGCATACATACATACACGCGACACACACACACGCACCTCGGCTACCCGTTTTCCTTTGTCTTACGCAGGTAGCTCCCTCGTACAAATAGAAGCAGAAAGAAAGAAACCAACAACTTTGCATTCCACACATACATAGTCGCTCCAAAAGTCTCGCACAGGACTCGTGTCGTGACGTGCTGCCACCAACCACTGCAGATGGATGCGTGGTTTGGGTAGGTCGTCCGTCCTTGGGCCTTGGGCCGCCCATCCGTCCGCCATCGGCGTCCGCCCTTCCATCTATCTGGCGCGCAGGGCGACGCACCTAGTGGTACATATCCAGCCTCCTGGACCGTCTCCGCGCGCGCCTGGCCTCGCTCGCTCGGGCGGGCGGACGGGCGGGGTGCGCATGGGTAGGTACGTACGGGGGTAGGTAGGTAGATGGCTGCCTTGGTGGGCGGGCGCCGGGCGCGCGCTTCAAGGGGCCCCACGCACCGTTGTTCACGCTCCTCGCTCCCCCGGCCGGCGCTCCTGCCTGGCTGCTGGCTTACCCGCCCGCGTGGGTCGTCTCCGCTGCTCGTCACTTCGCTCGCTGCGTAGGTATTGCTCTGATTCGCTAGGTACCACTTGGTACTTCTCGCTCTCTCCGATGCGCTCGCTCGCTCGCTTGAGGGTTGCCTGCGCAACCAATACGGTGGGCACAGTGGCGGCGCGGGGGGCTTGTCTATCTATATGTACGGAATTACCTGCCTACGTACGGAGCGAGATGGTGTGGCGTTGTTTCGTGCCGCGCGGGAGGATGACGGATGAAGGATAAGAGATGAGGTATGGAGGTGTGGTAGGGTGGACAGACAGATGCCTCAGATGTCGCAGCCCCAGAGGGATAAGCGGATAAGCGTGCGGGGAGGGTTGGGGTTGATGTTGCATCGCCGTTGCGCATCGCACCTGCATCGCCGTTGACGGTGTCGACGCACCTACCTACGCACGCTTACCCGCCTGCACGGCACGGCACTGCACTGCAGCGGAGCGGAGGACATGCATACATGCATACATGCATGCATACTACGTACGTAGATAGGTAGTTAGGTAGTAGCTGCGCGTGCTATACTTGGGCACGCCGCTGCGCATACAGTACGGATTACATGCGTAGGTGGACTTACGGCCATACGGCCATACTCCTAGGCCGAGTTGGGCAACTTGATTGGCGATGCGTGCGTAGTGGTTAGGTAGCCAAGGCTACCTTGATAGGAAGTTCTCCTGCCCGGGCGCGCAAAACGCGAGGCACCCAGGCAGGGGCGCGCGGGCAGGGTGCGTAGTCAAGGTGATGGCGTGCGTCAGAGATGCAGCAGGAACCTGAGACGTGAGACTAGACGGGCCGGCCGGCGCGGGCATCTCAGTCACGGCGTCTCACCTGCGTGCGGATGCCTTGGCTACCTAGTCGCTGCATGTCTGTGTCTGTGTGTGTTCGGGCACGTTGGCTGTGATTGTGAGACGGCGGAGGAGGGAAGGATGTGGGTACTGGAAGTGGCAAGAGTAATCCGTACAGAGTAGGGAAGCTGACAGCGATGGCAATGGCAAAGGCGAGGAGGAGGCGTGCTAGGTGTGTTTTAGATGGGGCGGGGCTGGATTAGGCGATGGATGCGCGTCTTTTTTTCCCTTCTTTTTCTTTGTTGCGCGGAGTAGAGGCCGATTTGGTGGAATTATTTCTTCCTTTTTGGCTGCTATTGTTATTGCCTGCTGGGTTTAGGTACATAGTAGGCGTTGTTGTGTTTCGCGGATCGCGTGGGCGCATATGAGCGGCGGGCGTGCAGCGTACATGCACTCTCTTGCCCGTCGTTGACACGAATGAATACTTTGAGTTGCCGCTCGCACCGCAGCCGAAGAGAGCGGAGGCGTGTCCGGACGGCGGCCAGCAAAAAGGACCACCTCTCTATCCCTGACACCCTGACACTCTCGCCTCTCAAGGACCCGTCGTCTATCGAGCAGCGCCTATCTTCACGGTCAGTAATCAAGCAGCATTCACGCCATCCAATTTACCCACCGTCGCCTACTGCAACCAATGCGGGCTGACCGGTGCGCTAGTCTCCCCCTCGACGCCCGCTGCGCCCGCCAATGTCAAGGCTGGAAACGGCATGTGAAGCAGCGCGTCTGCGGGTCCGCGATCTGCAATTGCGTCTTAGTCTTATTGCACAGTCCTATATGATTCCCCCGGCTATACACCTATAGCGGAGGCAATCTTATGCCTTGCGATTGGCAGGAACCGGGCCGCCTATTTCCCGCCTCCCGCCTCGCCGCCACTACCGCCTGCCATTGCCTTTCATGTTACTGGACGTCGACGTGCGGTACCTTCGGGAGGATCTGGCGTGCAGCGTGCAGCAGCCACCATGCGAGATGCGAGATGGATGGAGGCGCACGTCAGCGATGATGACAACAGCAACAGCAACAGCAACAAAAACAAAAACAACAACAACAACAACAACAACAACAACAGCTTATACTCGTACAAGACGATGTACAAGAATAGACCCCGATCGTTGGTGGTGCTACGTCCATACGTCCGTAGGCCGTGATGGATGCCGATCCCCATTCAGCACATAGGACGGGCCGGGATTCAATGCCCGCCGGCGATGAAACAGGGCCGCCCGTGCCTGGCGGCTTCTCCGCTCCGGGCGCAGGGGGCGACGACGCACGATGACGACCCGGAGCGGCATGCCGAAACAGGGCAGCGCGCCGAACGGGGAGACGGTCCCAGCCGAAGGATTTGAGTGCTGACTGATGGAGCAGGGATGCGTGACCATGACATGATACAGAACCTTCGGAGTATCGCCCATGAAAGCTTTCTTTTTTTCCTTCCCTACCTACCTACCTACAAACCCTTACATAGATAGGTATTCTTTTTCCTTCCATCTTAGCTTACGAGGAAAGAACGAAGAGCGAGGATGGCATTTGAGCTGCGCCGTCTGCTGGTTCTTTTATTAGCCGACACGGACGCCCATCATCCGCCCGACTCATTGCGACAGTCGATCTCGAGATTGGACGACACACGCGGCGAAGAAGAAAGAGAGAAAAAAAAAAAAAAAGCGATGATGAGTGATCCCCTAAGTTTTCCCGCCTCGCCTCGCCCCGCCTCGCCTCGCCGGTCTATCAAAAAAAGTCGCGACGAGCGAGGAAGGAGCTCGCTCGAGCACGTCCACCGCCGCCGCCGCCATCGCCGCAGCAAATGTCTGCTCCCGCGCGTGACACGCCCGGCAGAAAGGGCGCAACAGTGCGCCGCCCATGGTCGCCCACCAGGGTCAGGTCTAGCTTGTCTAGTCGACGTCCTGACCGCCTGCGATCAGAGCTCCCTCCCTTCTCCCTCCTCTGAGTCTCCGTCCCGTGCCACTTGCTAATAATGAACAAGACCCTGGCGCCGCCACAGACACACACACACCACGGCACACGCACGCACACACGCACCCTCTGCGCTCTGCGCGCTGATCTTATGCCTTTTTCGCTTTGCGCGCGGAGGCTTACCGCGACGACGGCCGCTGGCCGCGAGACTGCCAGCTCCGTCCGTTCGCTGGCTCGCTCATTTGCGCCTCGCAACCCGCACCTCGCACCGGACAGGCCTTGGCACGCATGTACAGTACAGTACGTAGCGCGCCCGCGCCCGCGCACCGAAAGCCAGGCCCTCGGGCCCGCGTCGGCCGCCCGCCGCCGCGCCTACCTACTCTAATACGTACCTACCTTACGTACCTGCTTAGTTCCTACCCTACATGCAATAGCGGCAAGATCGCAACGCACGCAACGTAGGCACAGTAGGTAGGCAACGCCAACGCCAATGTCGGCAGGCCCCCTGCTCCCGGCGCAGCGGTAGCCGGAATTAACACCGCTGCCCGGGACGACTGGCGCCGGGCGCCTGACGGCTACCTTAGGCGTGCAGCGCCGGCGCGCGGGCTAGGGCGTCTAGCTGGTGTTCGCGTCGCTGTGGCAACGCCGTCGTACCTACTGTACCTAGTAAGATGGTGGCGAGGTGAGGTGACCCGTGAACGAACGCTGGTGTTCGGTAGTTGGGTAGGTGGGTGTGCCTGAACGGGTGGGGCGAGCGGAGGTGTGCGTACCGTGGCTGCGGTCGCCGGCGCCGTCGGTCTGTCTACGGTCCGTGGTGCCGTGTTGGCCCGCCTTCCTTCGCGCGTAGGTTTGTGGTTGTGGCTGAAGGAGGAGGGGGGGATTGCGGCTGGTGGCCTTAGGTTGCTTTGAGGTTTCGTTTTCTTGGTTTTCTGGTTTCTTGCTTGATTGCTTGCGCGCCTTTTTCTTCCTTGTCCTCCTGTCTATCACCATTCACCATGCCCTCTGCTCTACTTTGCTTACGCGCGGTAGGTAGGTACCCAGGGTAAGACAGGGCGACGCGCACACGCGTCTGCGGCCGTGCCTGGTGGTGGCAACGGCGACAGCGACGGTGACGGTGACGGCGAAGCCGAAGCCGAAGCTTGCCGCCGCCGCCGCCGCCGCCGTCGTCGTGGTCCCGGATTCCTCGGCCCGCATCCTATGCGTACGCACGGTACGATGGTCGATATTGTAGAGCAGATCGAGGCAGATCGGGGCCGCGGCCGCGCTAGCACGCTAGGTAGGCTGGCGTGGTGTTCGTACCCCTCCCTCTCGTACGAGTATGTAGTAGGCAGTGGCGAAGGTGGTGCTGTGCTGTGGCACAGTCGATCGATGGATCACTGGTGATGGTGTCCGCACCCAAGCTCCGGCTCCGGCTTGCTACGGCGTGCTACTGCTTAGCTCGCTCTTCATCCTTCGTCTCGGCTGCTAATGTTGATAGCTTGCTAATCTATCTTGGCTGGGTTTGGTCGGGATGGCCTTGCTGCCTACCTTCCGTATACTGCAAGCGTCATGCAGGTGTGTACGACTTGGGTAATATGGCTTGCTAGCAGGCAGGCAGGCAGGCGGGCGGGCAGGCGGGCAGCGGCTCGGCCGAACAGCGCCGTTCTTGCCACCCACTACTCCCCCTTTTCCTGCCGTTGGAGGTACCTACCTAGCGGTTCTTGCTTCGCCGCTTTTCTTGCTGAGTTCGGCCGCTTTGCCTCTTTGTGCGGGCGGGGACGGGCGGTTTGTTGGGCGGCGTGTAAGGCGCCCTGCCTTGCCTGTTAAGGGCCTGAGGGCGCTTTTGGTGGCGTGCGGCGGTGTGGAGGGTGGCGCGGGGAGTGGGGGTGGGCGCGGCGTGGTGGTGCGCGTGGTGCCGTGTTTGTGCTTGTGGTGCGGTGCGGTGGTTGTGCTGTGGCGCGCTCGCTCCCTGTCTTTCTGTCTGTCTGCTGGTGGTGGGTTGGTATGCGGGAGACTTGCTGCGCCCGTAAGCGGAGATGGTGGTTCTGTGAGTGAGGTTTTTTTTTTTTTTTTTTTTTTTTTTTTTTTTTTTTGTGTTCTTTCTTGCTCTTGGGGTGTGTGATGGGAGAGGATTGGGTTGAACGGACTGGGTTGTGCTATCATGTCTTAGGAATGAAGATTAGACTGGCTTTTTGCTGGTTGTTGCGGAGCGGGGAGACTTGTTGGGTCAGTCACTGTCTGTTTTGATAGAGAGAGGGGGGGATGAGCTGCGCTGTATATTACCACGAGGAGGAGATAAAGTAAGCAAGGGATAAGGGACTTTCTTTAGATAGATATAGTATAATGAGAAGAAAGTATAGACTTTACTAGAACTTTATTTCGAACGGTTATTATATCTCGGTCTACTAATCGAAATTTAATATAACTTTCGTTTAAACACAATAATATACGACGTCTAAACAATGTGCTGCAGCACAGTTATAGCAGCACGATCAAGGGGATACCTAGATCGAGAGCAGAGCAGCAATTAGAGATCAAACAATCAACTCCTTCTACCGCAATCATGCAGTGACGCCGTTTGCCTCAACAGCGGCTTCATCCTTCCTAACAACAAAACCACGAATGCAATTAAGGGAAAGTTATTTACGAGCCCTAAGAACACAGTGAATATATATACGACACATCAAATCCAGAGTCAGCAACACCAAAGAAAGCATCCAAGGGCTGCTCTTCCCCGTGGACTTTAACTGCATACCCGCTTCTGACATATAAATAGTAAATCGCTGCACACCAACCAATCACCACACCAGCATCCAAAAGCGCAAAACCTTCACTCACAACATGATACATTCATTACCGCCAACCCAGGGAGAGAGCCCCCCTTCCCCAATGAGATCCAGTATCTCATGTAAACAAGCTCTCTTGCAAGCCCTCGGTGACGGGTTTCGAAAGTCGACCTTGAACCACTTTTCGTAGTAAACAATCAAGCCTGCCCCCAGCCACGTCGTGCCACTTCACTGGACGTTCCGCTGACAATCTGCACACTCTTGTCTCTTCACGCAGGGTGGTGACTGCAATCGGTGCGTTTTCGATGTCCCGGCGTGGAAAGGAGTAGGTTAGTTCACTGTGAGCGAGCAGCGGCACGCCAACGGCAGTGATGACGTTCGCCATAACGTGGACATAATGCAGAGTTTCGCTAGCAGTAAATGATGCTCCTCGGCACAAGGACATGAAGACGAAGACCACCCCGAGGAGCAAGACAGTTAGGTACAAAGAAGAAAAAGCGCGCCTGAAGTGTGCGGCCGAACCCGAAAGTGCCCCCGCCCAAGCAGCAGATGCGCTATGGCTATGCTTAGTGAGGGATTCGAGTCAAGTTGCTGGGTTTCCGTTGCATGAGCTAGACAAGGTGTATCTGCGTAAGGTTTTATAGTAGGTAACGTACGGCGCGAGTAGGGCCGCCGGTTATTTGCTTCGCGTTTGCTGCTCCAGCTCCTCCTATGCATGACGTTCTTCTGCTTTTATTGCGCCAGTGCTATTGGAGTCACGAGAACGACATACATAACAAACGACATTACAAACAACGAGATAAGGTAAAGCGGATGATAGAAAGAGAGAGGGAGGGAGGGAGACAAGACTACCTCCGCCGCACGACCGCCCTTCACGCCGTATAGAATGTGTACGCAGCCGCAACGCAGGCACAAAGTACAAGCACAGAAGACTAGGTATAGAAGAGCTATATCGGGACTTAACGATGTACTCTTACTGAAATGTGCAACTTCAACACTGTCTAGTAAGTGTCTATAGAGCTTTCAAAAGCAAACTACCTCCGATGGTGGAGTACTCATCCTCCCGAGAACATGCAGATCTAATTCGCACAACGCACCGCCACTCAATCAAACCCATGCAACGATTCCACGCCCCTCCACAGTCATACCTCCCCACCTTCACCCCGCTCCTCGGACCCCTTCCCCACCAACACCCTCACGCCCTTCGACCCCAACCGGGGCACAGGATTAAAAAAATCATGCGCGACATCGACGTCGGACCTGCCCGTCTGCCACAGCTCCAACGCCAGGCCCCCCTCCCCCACCGGCCTAAACAGCCTCCCCAGCGTAAGAAATATCTCCGCATACGCGAGGTTCATGCCCACGCACTGGCGCGTCCCGCGACTAAACGGCACGAGGAACCTGCGCAGCTCCGGCGCATCTGGCCCCAGCCAGCGGTGCGGCAGGAACGCGCGCGGCGAGCCGAAGATGTCCGCGTTGTCGTGCAGCAGCATCTGCGTCATGCTGACGGGCGTGCCGGGCGGGATGGCCAATGCGTAGTTAGGGACGTGTAGAGCCGTGTCGGGCGAGATGCGCGGCAGGCGGTGCGAGACGCCGTAGGAGAGGCGGAGGCCCTCGGCCACGACGGCGGAGAGGTACGGCAGCTGCTCGAGGTCTGTCCAGCTTGGGTTGGAGGGGGTAGAGGGGCTGGCGAGCTCGGCGCGCAGGTGCGCGAGCTGCTCTGGGTTTGCGAGCAGGTGGTATACGGTTGTGGCGAGGGTGTGCGCGCTCGTGACTGTGCCGGCCCCGATCAGTGTGAAACCTTCTTCTGTGAGGCGGTGGTTGCTGAGTTCGCTGGCGGGCAGCTTGCTGCTGTGCAGGATGTCGTGCAGGATTGTGGGCGCGTGGGCTTCTGTGTCTGCGGCTTTTGAGAGGGCTTCGGTGCCTTTGCTTTTGATTTCTTCGATCTGCTGCGTGATGCCGTTTTGCACGTCGAAGAGTTCTTTCGTGAGCGGATGGACGATCGAGACTAGTTTCTGCGGAATATGGGTCATGATGGTGTAGAGCCAGCCGAACTGCTTCATCAAGTGCGTGCCCCGGCTTAGATCCTGTTGAGTCTGGGTCAGCACCTTGTCACTCATGGGGAAGGATGTCTGACGGACGATCATAAGCTTGTGCCATCCAGGGTTGAAGTCGGGCACATCGAGAAAGCCGTAAGACCGGCCAAACGCAAAGCTGCCGATCACGTCTGCAGACAGTGCCGTAAAAGCATCTCTTAGATTCACTGGCTGCGCGGTTCCAGTAAAGGCCTGTAGCCGCTGACATAGCTTGTCGACATTGGCCTGGATGACGGGTTCCAGACGCGTAACAGATCTCTTAGAGAAGAACGGATTCAGCGCGGCTCGGCGCAGGCGGTGCAGCTCATGAGATACGGTCCCAACGGCCGCGTCTGTCGTTCCGAACATCTTTGCTGACCAGGACCATTTCTCCGTCCTCCTGCCCGGTCCCGCATAGAGCTGATCGTAGAACGCTGGATCGCTGACGTGAAGCTCGTACGGGTTGATCCGGACAACGGGCCCTGTCTTATGTTAGTAAACACTCACCAATTCCACTCCACTTACCCTTTGGGGCTCTCTTTCTCGCACTTGCTTACCATATTTCTCATGCATGCGCATAATCTCCCACGTATAGCTCCCCTTGCGAACGACGTCATAGTAGAATTCATACCAGAACGTCAATGCGGCAAGACGCGGACCTGGGAAGTGGGCAACTGGGCTGAGACAAAGACGGTAGAGCGCGCCGTAAAAAGTGTATAACACAAGCAGTGCCGCAACGAGGATAACGGTTGGGTGAGAAAGCAGAGATTGTGCAGACTCCATAACGCCTCGCTGTATGCAATGGAAGAAAAAATGAACAACCGGACTCTACTTCTCGACGACCTAGGCAAGTGCAGTTAAAAAGGCTCGAATTGGAGTTTGTCGTGTGAAGTCGTCAATCTTTAAAAGTAGGCCGATATAGTTGATAGTTTTATCGCCACCTTCCCGTCGCTTTGGTTCGCAGGAATTCTCGACCGTGCGGGTGACGTGATGCCTCGCATGACGAAGGAGGTGATCCTGACAACCTGTCGTACTTGAAGTCTCAACCCTAGTAGAGGGTGCTGGTGGTGCCGTAGGAGTCGTGACGTAACATGCATCGGCCGAGTTCGAGAGGCCCTGCCTCCGAGGCCTTGTTACTTGAACTAGTCGTGTCCGCTTCCTCCAGGATAGAGAGCTGCGGGAACACGGCCAATCTCATTTGAGTAGAGCTATATGGGCTTGAGATTAAGTCTAAACATGAATAGGCTGCGATGCTGTCATTAAATAGTCATTTTCCACTCCAAATTAAGCTCTTCATACCGGTGAAGATCGGCCACGACTAACTCGCGTAAGCTTGCTCTCGGACAGTCACGTGATTGTGTCCAAATCGACTCCAACTATAAGGGCATGCGTGGCTCATCCCGTACGTACAAGCCTCAAGAAGGACGCAGGAGGGCTGGGAAGAATGATATTTAAAGCTAGCGTTAATGAACGCGGATTAACAAAGTTTTATGCCGTAATGGTATGGGCAGCATAGACGCTTGCCCTGGTATCGTCTCTAAATATGGCCGTCTAACCATGCTCTTCTATAATAAAAAATGCTCGAAGCCTGTCTTATAAAATCGTAGCAACCAGTGCTAGACAGTTCTTACTCCAGTCCCTCTGGTAAACGCCAGACATCTAGAGCGCATGCTCAATCAATGCGGCCGTGCTGTTACGGCAGTATAAATAAATCAAACGTCCTCAGGCGGCGCAGCAAAGTGCATCCATTTGGATTCGCCCTCCTTCTCGCCGAGCACGAGCAATTTCCTGCTGCCGCAGAAGCTGCCCGGCCCTGCGATACGCTCAACCTCTTTCCATGAGCCGATGGGCTCGGTCGTGTTGGAAGCAGCAGCATCCTGCTGCCATACTCGTTCCATGACAAGGTCGCCAGGCTCCTGTGTACGGCGGGGGTTGTTGCCTGGCAAACCAACAATTCTGTTCAGTATATCGTGGATAAGGGAGTACAGTCGTTCCGGCCTGCGCGTCAGGGGCAACCACAAAAGGGTGTACTCGTCATATGCAGTGCGAACATATGGGTTCATGAAGATGCCGCTTGGTGCATGCGGGTTTGCAGGATCGCGCGGTTTCTGGATATCGGCGTTGATGAGGCAGCATTCAGAGGCTTCCCAGTACGTCCGGTCTTCAAATCGAAACCGGAGAGTGGACGTGTTGGTTGGGATACCACTCAACTCCGTCCGGCCACTTGCGAAAGCTGCCCCCCAGGCAGTGCCTTCGACTGGGTCGGCATTCGTGAGATCGGGTGTTGACTGGAACCATCTTGCCTCGTAGGCGACCATACCCCCCCAGCAACTACGGACACGAACAGCATCTTTTTGGTTGACGACATCGCTCCGGGTATCTGCCAGGCCTGCGTTCGGGAACCAGGGAAAGAACGGGAGAGACATGCTGTGTCCCTCAAGATCCCGGGTTGCGAACGTGTCGTAGAATTTGAAAGGGTTGATGAAATCAACCGCGCATGCAGCGCGATAGTCCGTCTTGCCGTTGGAGTCGAGGTTGGTAGAGAAAAGAAGTTGCGCCGCGTCTATGGGATTAAAGTAAACATCGTTCAAGAAAAGAAGCTTGTCGAATTTCGTCTCAATGTCGTCAAGGGGACGCAGCGCTCTGTTTCTGGTTTCCGCAAGGTATGCAATCCGCTTGATACGCTTTTCGCCATTCGGTAAGGGAACGCGGCGGATATCTTCCAGTGGAAGATGCTCTGCGACCAAGGTAGAGTTGCCTATTATGGTCAGCGCTGCAGGGCCCAACTAGTGCGCCGCACTACTTACACTTTACGCGACTCTTGAAGCTCTCCAATGCATCCTTTGCGAGATCATCAGGGTCGTTCTCGTATATGCTCAAATGCACATTCTCAGGGCCCAGCAGGTCCACCAGATCCAAAATGTTCTGACTCCATGATCCGCCAACAAGCGTACCGTTCGCATCGTATAAGCTTGCCGCAATGAAGACCTTCTCGTTATGGATGTTTCCCCGACCGGGTTCCGTGGACTGAACGGCCCGCTCTCGGAGCTCGTTATAATGGCTTGGCGCATGTGTATACGATGGCCTGAAAGCCGTTGTGAAGATGACCAGGAAACCAAGCACAATTGGAAGGAGAATTGCCGTCCACAAGAGACCGCGGAGCAGCTTGTAAAGCGGTCTGCGTGGGGAGACGGCGACATAGAACTCCGACCCGGAGACCGGGATGTACTGCAACGGACCCCATCGCGAAGGGCTTCTATTAAGGTTCTCTCTGAGATGCTCAGAGCTTGGCGTGTAGCTGGGCGTGTCGAGGTAGAATTTGGGGAAGGAGCGATCCGAGTCGGACGAAGAAGGTCGAAGAGGGACATATGCAGGCGACCGTTGTCGCATCAAAGGTAGATCGAAGTACATGGTGCGCGGCGTACACAAAGTATGTAAAAACGGTAGAAAGAAAGAAAGAAAGATGGTTGCTGGATCAAAAAAGAGGAAAGGGCATCAACAGCGGTGACGGAGCAAACGAGAGACAGGGCGCAGCGGTTGTCAGCGGTTGCTTGGCGAAAGAGCGTCCAAGGTGGTTGGGATGTGCAGTTGGTGAGGCAGTGTCGCTGCATATCATCTCCAATCGCATGGAAGGGAGATTTGGGGAAGGCCCAATCAAGGCGCCCCTGGACCATCAGCCGCGCGTTGCATTGGCCGAGATGGGGCAAGGATGCGACCGCGCGAGTCGCCCTAACGCTTCGCCGACGGCATGGAGATGAGCGTGGCAGAAGGTTGTGCAGAAATTGCGACGCCAACATGCTTGGCTTTCGGCCCCAGAATGCCAGCCGTGCCAGCGTGCCAGCGTGCCAGGGTCTCTCCCCAACCTAGCTCACCCGTCTGGCCCCTCATCGGTTCGGGGAATCCTTCCAGAACGCCAGCGGCCGAACGCAACGGTGAGAATCCCGCCACTTCGTCTAACAACGGCACCACGTCTCTTCGCCATCACGCCTGCCTTGTCGTATGCGCGCGCCCATGTCAATCGGCTGCCAACCGATAGATGCACTGTTCGCCGTCTAATTGCTAGGCTGTGGCTTGTGCCACGACATACCTACTCTATGTACACTCCAATCTAGCGCGAAGCCATGGCGCGGATTACAGGCGCCTCTCTAATTGGCTTGTACTCGATCTTTTTCGTATTCACGGTCCTTTTCCTGTCTAGAGTTCCCCTGACGGCCCGGCGTCGAAACGTATTCCCGTATCCGTGTATCTTCCAATGCTTCCGTACTCGTTCTCGCTCGCTGTGGCTTTCCACCGTACCATGCAACCCTTGTTCTCTCTCCACAACCTTATACCAATGTCCCTTGGGTCTATAACTTTCGTACTCCTTCTCTCGAGTCATTTGCTTTCAGGTTTGAACATCTCGGATCCAAGTTGCTGTGCCTGATGATGCCATTTTATGGGAGTACAAAACGACAGCTCGTTAATCTTAGCCTGGTGACAGAGATAGCGGAACCAAAGCACGGAAAACATCGAAGAACTACGCCGATAGATTAGCACTCAATGTATGGAGAGGCCTACGTTGAACGGAAGTTTGTCATGTAGCAATGGCGTGTCGTGTATGCTACAGCAACGCGGCACCATATCTCCATTTTTAAAGAGCTCGGAAACCCAAATTTCAAGTACTTTCCTATTTACCTCTACCCTCTTAAGCTCACAAATTTCTTTCCTCTCTCTCGATTCTGTGTTGCAACGTGAGCTGCGTTGAGCCATGCGCACTGCGTGCAGTTGCAAATGTGACTCAAATTCAGTAAAGCGGTGCGGTAGTGTGCGCGAGTCTACTTGACAAAATGACATGGCTAGCATAGGACATGCGGGCGTCAACGGTTGCAGCAGCTAAGCTTGAGCGGTGCGCGCGAGGATGGCCTCAGGTGCCGCGGGTCTGACGCTCTGCGGGAAGGCACGTTCGACCGGACCGCGCCTGCCACCTTCGACGTGCTGCTGCTCCTGCCATTATCGTCTTCGCTTGGCGTCACTGTTGCCGCGTCTGTAGCAGCCGTCCGCGCTCCTTCTTCCCTCTTCCACCTGAACCCAACACCATCCCTCGCAATCAGCGACGCGTCTTGACGTCTCTCCATCCTTGGTAAGCTTCTTCCATCCAAATCCGTCACTTCCACCATTACCCTGACATCAGGCGCTGTGATCTCACACAATGCCACAAGCCAAGGCAACTCGGTCGTCTAATGACACCAATTCGGCCGCTAATTTTGCCAAAGAAAACCTCCAGAGCTTCCTAGAGCGTGCCAACTTCAGCTTCTCGCTGCTGAAGCCGAGGTCACATAGAGCGTCGGCATCCTCTTTATCGACGCCTTCGTTCGGCGCAGCTCACAGCAGCTTCACGAGACTCACCAACACTCGGCTTAGCAGCGGAGCAAACGGACGTCATTCGCTCGCTCTTGTGTTGCCTCACACAGTCGACACTGAACGCGTCCAAGATCCTAAGGCGGCCGTAGAAGCCAAGCCGACTGCAACGAGCATCACTGATCCTCATCCAAGTAAGTCCAACACATTGTCGCATTCCCATATCACCATTATCAAGGATTGCTGACATAACTCAGGCGGGGGTGCAGTCCAAGTCCAGGCAGAGCTAGCTCACTCAACTGCCAAGGTCACTTCACCTGGCAACGACGATAGTTCCACGTCATCTGGCAGCACAGTGTCTCGCGACGCTCCTGAACCCAAGTCCTATCCTGTGGGCACAAAACACTTACTGCCTGTCACTCACATCTCTCAAACATTGCGAGCAAGCTCATTGGGTGCAACAATGGCTCCTCCTGTCTCATCTTATGAAGAGGCCAAAATGTATGGCTTACACTGGAGCAGGTTCAGAGCTGGCGGCAATGCCGAGGGCGAACCTGGTAGTTTTGACGTGAACAAGATGACGAACGATGCTCTTGCGCGCCAGGAGTCAATCTCCCGTCGTGTTATGGTACTCCGCAACAAACGTTCGGCCTCGGCAGAGGAAGATCGCAAGTCCACCAAGAGTGAGGGGAGCGATCCAGACTCCAAGCTTCGCAGAGCCAAGGAAGAAGCCCAGCATTGGGAATCCGAGCGTCAACAGGCCAAGCAACGTGAGCAGGAACGCACGGCGGCTGAATTGCTTGAGAAAGAACGTCTCAAACAAGAGCATCGCGATCAGGAGCGCATCAAGCAAGAACGCCTCGAACATGAACGCCTCGAACACGAACGCCTCGAACAAGAGCGTCGCGAGCTGGATCGTCTTGAACAGCAGCGCATCGAGCAGCTGCGCCTTGAACAAGAGCGCCGCGAGAAGGCACGCCTCGAGGAGGAACGCCTCGAACAAGAACGCCTTCAACAAGAACGCCTTGACCAAGAGCGCCGTGATCAGGCACTCCGCGAGGAAAAGGAGCATCTCGAGCAGGAGCGTCTCGAACAGGAGCGTCTCGAACAAGAACGCCGCGAAAAAGAACGCCGTGAGCAAGAGCGTCTTGAGCAGGAGCGTCTTGAGCAGGAACGCCACGAGGAGCAAGAACGCCTCGAACAACAGCGTCTCGAGCTGAAGCGCCGTGAGGAAGAAATGGAGAGAGAATTGGCCCGTCTGAAGACCCAAATCCAGGGCCAGCTTCTTGAAAAGCATAAGAAGCTTATTAGCGAGGTCGACACCACTGAGCGTGAGGCTCTTCAGAAGGCTCAGGATCAACAAGACATTGTGGAAAAAGAGATTACTGATATCAGTGCTCGTCGGAACGAACTTGGTTCCCAACAACACAGCAAAGAGCTCGAGATTGGAAACAAGAAACTCGAGATCGAAGAGCTCACGAAGGTCCTCGAAGAAGCTAAGGAGGCCCTCGAGCGTCTTCAGCATGAAGCAGCGTCTATCGAGAACTCAAAGGCCCGCATCGAGGAAGAACGCACGGAGGCTCAAGAGTTGCTTTTGGCCATTCACGCCGAACAGAATATAATCTCCGAGCAGGCTACCGGTGAACGCAGCCGCCTTGAAAAAGCGTTTGCCAAAGAATCATCTTCCGTTGATGACCTCGCCAAGGAGGCCGCTTCAAGGACTGTCAACCCCTCTCAGGACACAAAATCCGTTGAACCCTCCAATGGAACTAAGCCTGGTGTCAACAAGCCTGCTGACGACAAGTTTGATGTCGACAAGTTCGATGTCGACAAGTTTGATGCCGACAAGTCTGATATCAACAAGACCCCCGATGCCGTGCCTGCTGAGATTGAGGATTTAACCCACCAAGACTTCTTCAAGGCTTGGCCTAAGTCAGAGAGTCGTCCCTTCGGTGGTAAGTCAACAAGTATTTACGATTGTCATATGAAAGCTAATTTGTCCTGCTGTTTAGCTGCCCCGAAGCGCCTTGTTAAATTGACAAATCTTCCTTCCACTTCGACTCTGATCAGCATCCAGGCTCTTGTCTGGGGTGGCCGCATTGAAAAGCTCGCGTACTTGCCTGGCAGCACTTCTGCTTGGGCCCTCTTCATGCGTGGTGAAGATTCCGAGCGGTATCTTAAGGATACTGCCAATGGCATTGATGCACCTGGTGAACAGAAGCGTGTCATCTGGGTTGAGCCATGTGAACCGGTCTCAGTGGGCGAGTTCATTCATGCTGCCTATCAAGCCGGTGTCACTCGTTGTGTCCGCGCCGTTGGTGTTGACTCGGACTGGGGCATGCTTGCGCTCAACAAGTTTGCCACAGCCAAGAACCGAAAGATCGAGCGTGTTGTTGACGGTGTCAACCCCAGTGGCGTAAGTCCCCAGATTGTCTGCCCTCGTGGAGTATTGAGACTAACTAGATTAAAGCTTCGTGTGGTGGAATTCCGCTTTTCCAACATTGTCGACTCTTCTCGCTTCAAGGTTGAGTTGCAGAACGACATGGAGTGGGAGCATTGTAATATTTACTACAGCGCCGACCCCTGCGAGACTAACACCGGTATCCATACCGGTATCCATTAGATGGTTACCGTACCGCGTAGCGGCGACTCCTGCGATTCACTGTGCGGTGTTGTCTTTCATCGCGATTAAAAATTGCTTGGCCCTGTTTGCTTTCCAACAAATTGCTTGACTTTGTCTTTACTGGCAGTCCAGCTTTCGACCGGTTCCCCCTGATAGTATGGTAGTAGTTGAGCGATGATCAATGGAGAATGAGTTAAGCATTTAGAATTGTTTGTCACAGTTTGGAGCCGTGGGTGACTGTCCTTCCAGCCAATCACGCCTCTGGCGGTGGCGACCGGCAGAACGCCCAGCATCATCCAGCGCTGCGAAAAAAGTTCGAGTAACTCACAACTCACCGTCACGTTTGCACTAGAACACTCACCATGGTCCAAGTACGGCAGCCGACGCAGGAGGAGCTGGAGAAGCGCAGGGTATGCCGCGCCCGCATCTTTGCTCTTGTGCAGCGCTGACGCCCGCAGATTGTCGATGTTCACCCGGAGCACGTCTCCAATATTTCTTCGACCGACTTTCCTGGCCACTACCCAGGCGAAGACCACAAATGGGACCTCGAGAAGTTCAGGAAGGTATGAGATTATGCCACGCGCGATCACGCGCTTCACATGCTCACATATAGTAGAACTTTCGCGTCGACTTCCACCAAAATGACCCGTGCGAGTCCCAGTTCTCCCTCGTGGGCGTGGATGCCGCCATCGCAAACGCCTTCCGCCGTATCACTATCTCCGAGCTTCCTACCCTAGCCATTGAAGAAGTCTACATCCTCAACAACACCTCGATCATCCAGGATGAGGTGCTGGCGCATCGCCTGGGCTTGATCCCGCTGAAAGGCAACCGCGAGGGTCTGAGGAACCTCAAGTGGTTTAGGAAACCGATTCCTGGCGACGAAGGCTCCGGCGATACCCCGACGGACTACAACACCGTCGTCCTAGAGCTGGACGTCGAGTGCACGTGGGCTCCCAACGGCCGCGAACTTGCGCGCAAGGGCGAGACAGACCCGAAGAAGCTGTTTGTCAACTCAAGCGGTATGTGCACTTCAAACGGCGCAGAAAAGGCGATAACTAACACAAACCATAGTTTACGCACACCAGATCAAGTTCAACCCCACCGGCAACCAGGCTCAAGTTTTCGCCGGCGAGGGCATCGTCCAGCCCGTCCACCCCGACATTCTGATTGCGAAGCTGCGCCCCGGCCAAGCCATCAAGCTCAGCATGCACTGCGTGAAGGGCATCGGCGCGGACCACGCGAAGTTCTCGCCCGTGGCGACGGCGACGTACCGGCTGCTGCCGCACATTGCCATCACGGCGCCGATCATCGGCGCAGACGCGCACAAGTTCGCGCGCTGCTTCCCGCCGGGCGTGATCACGGAGGAGCCGATTACGGCGGCCGAGGCGGCGCAGGAGGGCTCCGGCTACGAGGGCCACGAGGGCGAGAAGAAGGCCGTGGTCACGAACCCGTTCCACGACACGGTGACGCGCGAGGCGCTTCGCCACGACGAGTTCAAGGATAAGGTCAAGCTTGGCCGCATCAGGGACCATTTCATCTTCAGCATCGAGAGCACGGGCCAATGCGACAGCGACGAGCTGTTCCTCCAGAGTGTCAAGGCGCTCAAGACGAAATGCCAGATCATGAAGAGGAGTATGGCGAACTTGATGAGGTAATGCCTTTGTCAGGGTTTTTGTCGTCGGTATTTCGCTTCTGTTTTGCATAGCCATGGCGTTCTCGGAGCTAAGGAAAAATTATGGTGGATATCTGCTTCAAAAAGCTTGCCATCCTACCGATACCTGCGGGCTACGGTTCAATTACTGGATAGAATTTTTGCGGGTTTGTCTTTCGTCACGACTAAAAGCTGCTTGATTTTGTCTTCTCTGGCGGCTTGGCTTCCAACTGATTCTTTAATTAAGGCATGATAGTTGTTGAGCAATGATCAATGGAGAAGACGATAAGCTTGAAGAAGACTGTGCCATTGAACGTGACCATGGTTCATACATCGTAAACTAATAATAATAATTCATGGCAAGCCCACGGCCGACCTAAACAATAGCACCAGGTTGCTCCTGCATCTTTTTGGCCGTCCCAACACCAACCACGCCCTCCTCCTGGTCCTCGCCCAACCAAGGTTTCTTCGCCTCTCCAAAGACGCCCTCGGACAGGAAATAGATGAACAAGCCCACAATAATGAGGACGAAAGCGATAGGGTACAGGTAATGGACTGTGTAATGGAAGACATGGATGCCAATGATGACGCCCCAAAAGTTGCCGGTGAGGAGGGAGATATTGAAGAAAGCGGCGCTGGAGAGGCGGAACATGATGGGGGTCAAGCTATAAAAGATGAACAAGATAAGGGTATAGCCAACAAGGTAGCCAGCGACGTCGCCATTCCAAGTAGCGGTAGCGAAGCTGCCTCGGTCGAAGATGGCGCAGATGACGCCGTTGATGATGATGGCCCAGAGGGAGAGCTGGCCAATGACCTCGTAGATGGGCCGCTTGGAGACGAGGAACTCCTCGAGCGTGTTGGCGAGGCCGTAGCACGCAGCGCCGGCGAGCGCGAGCAGGTCGCCCTTGAGCTGGTCCGTGGCGTCGCCGTCTCCGCCCGTGATGTGGTCGCTTGCGAGTAAGAGGCCCATCCCCCCGATGCACACTAGGATGCCCGCGTACTGCGTCAGGTGGTACCGTACGTGCAGGAAGATTAGGCTGACGATCACTACGACGAGGATCGCGGCGAAGTTTATCAGCTGCAAGGATAGGATCGTTGCGTAGTTGTAGGCGCGGACTACGAGGTAGTTGCCTACGACGTCGAGGAAGGCGAAGATGATGTCTGGTGGAGAGAGGGGTTAGCCGGTGGGATTGGTGGTGGAAAGGTTTAAGCGGCGCTACTTACACCTCCAGCTATCCTTCCAGAGGAGCGTAAACCAGCGCTTCCACCCATACTTAAAGATCGTATACGGCGTGTACACAAGGAAAAGCAAGATATAATTAAACAGCGTCTGGAAGGACGGGATATTGGTGCCCTCGTTCGCGAGCAGCGTCGAGAACGTATTGGTCGACGTGATGCACAACGCCAGCACCTGGCCCAGCACCAGCGCATACCAGAAAAAGCGCGTCTTGAAGTAGTCGAAGGAGAAGCTGAACCAGCGCGTTCGCCAGCCGCCGCCAGAGCCGCGCTCAATCCCCGCCGAGTGCGGCGGCACCTCCGAGCTGGCGGTCGGCACTAGCTGCGGCACGCCGTGGCCCGGCGAGCTCGCGGACGACCGCCGCCGCCCCTGGTGCGACCCGATCGTCGTGTCGTCCACGTCCGTGTAGTACTCGTTGGCCTTGCTTGGCTGCACTCGCGCCGTGCTGGCTATCTCGCTCATGGGCGCGATGTCGCGCGCTTCCTCTTGTGTCATTTTTTGTTTTATTTTGCGGCTCTTGCCTCCGTTTCTTGGGAACTAGCTCTTTCTTGGTATCCCCGGTATGGATGGGTCGTGGGCCTGGTGTCAGAAGCTCAAGGTGCTCGGCGGGCGGGGCACGCTGATGCGGCTTCAATGGCTACGTCGGCGGCTGAGGCGCGACTAGAAATTGTGGATTGGAGCTTTCGAAGGAGACGGCGAGCGCAAAACTCCAGAAGTCGCTCGCACGAGGTGTGATGGTAGGGTCAGAGGGAGGAGAAGCTCTCCAAGAAGAAAAGAAAGACAGAGCGGCACAGGTTTAGTTTTCGGCGGTAGCTATCGGTAGCGCGTGCGATGGAGCCATGGTCGGCTCCGAAGTTCTAGCCCTCCGGCTCAACGGCCACGATCGTCAGTGAAGAAAAAATTTATTAAAGCGAAAACGGACATTGGCTCTCTTGCGGCTTGGTGGCCCGGCTGGGGCGTTCTTCGTCTCCAGGTTGTGCGGCGATCCACTGCCGCTTGCGCTTGGTCTTGCTGTTTGGAGCATGGTCGGTCGGTCATGACCGAGCTTCTAGAAGACGACCCCGGCGAGGTTTGATAAGAGCTCCCGGCTTGGTATCGTGAAGATAACATGTCTTGCAGGTAGATGGTGTCCCCAGACTCGGCCACGAGAGCCTTGATGTCCAGGGAAGGGCTGATCTCTCAGTGATCTCCCGCATTCCAGGGCACAAAGTCGCGGGACGTGCCGTTCCCGGGCTCGAGCACCATCGCCGCCGTACTCGTACCACGGCACCTCTCTTCAACATTGAAGTACGCAGGTGCGCATGTCGTCTGACGCCAGTCAACGAGTTCTCGCAGCTTGCTATCACGTCCCGAAAAGCAGACAGCATCTTAATTCATACATGCCTTACCAGCCTCCACACTATGTCCCGCTACTCTGTACTCAACTACCATTCCTGCCCTCCTGCCAAAACGCCGGATTAGGTAGCCCACTAGCCAGCTGCGAAGTAGGTATTCCAACGGCCTCTGGTATCGATCAAAGACGTCAACCTAGAGTACGGCCGCCGAACCGCAGCGCGCCGCTCCGGCCCGAGACTCCCAAACCTCTCCAGCGCCGGGTAGCCCGGCATCGTCGATCGCTCCAGGGATTGGCAGTCTAGCGTCTTTGGATGTATCAAATGCAGGAAACTCTTTGGCCTTTGCGCACCGTGTTATGGCGGCCTATAGTTCTCTTGTCTGAACAGGCGAGTACAACGATACCTAGGTACCGTGCTGGGAGGGCTCGGCACAGATAGTGGCATACGCCGTACCCGTCGCCGTGGCGTGCCTGCTTTGCCATGGCTCGCTCGCTCGTGCTCCAGTCCCAACCAAGCGTCCTCATACATGTGCTGTGACATTAGTCTGCAGCGGCAGATCCTGCAGGCGCAGATGGCGCACTTATCGGGGTCACGATAGCACGCGCAGCGACGCGGTTGTGGGGCCTTGGCCCGGCGCTGACTAAGACCCGCCGCTAAAGTAGGCGAAACACCAGAGATGTGTCCATTGTCATTGTCCCGCTGTTCGTTGCACCGCTGTTACGCTCCCCCACTCGCTCCTGGCCTGCTCCTTTCTCCCGTTCAAACCCCACGACCTCCGGATTTTACGCCTTCGTTTCTACCAGCAAAAATATCCTTTCGTCATGGCCACTCCTCCCCAGGGCGGCCCAGTTCCTCCCCAAGGCGGCCCAGTCCCTCCCCAGGGCCCGCCGCAGGGCATGCCGCCACCGCTGCGCCCCGGACAGCAGCCTACTCCCGAGCAGATCGCCTTCATGCAGCGCCAGCTGGCCGCCGAGGCTGAGAAGCACGGCATGACGGTCCCGCAATACGTCGAGCAGCTAAAGATGCAGGCGATGCGCCAGCAGCAGATGCGGATGGCGCAGCAGGCGCAGCAGGCGCAGCAGCAAGGCCAACCCCAGCAGGCTCCTCAAGGCCAGCCTGTCCAACCCGGCCCTCCTCAGCCTCACGCAATCGCCATCGCCAACTTCCTCCGGGGCCAAGACCTCAAGCCGCGGACGTGCATCTTGAACGAGAAGCGGAAGGACATGTTCAAAGGTAAGCCGATACCAATTGCCTAGTTCTTGCCTTAGGAATGATGACGCTAACCAACCACCCTTTAGTCAAGCGCGCCATCCGCGCCCTCTTCTCCCCGGCCTACGAAAAGGCACGCGCTAAGAACCCTCTGCTCCCGCCCGTTACGGACCGCGCCTCCGCCGAGAACGTCTTCAAGCAGCTTCCGCTGTCCCTTCTGGCGCTCCGCGTCTCCAAGATCGACCCGCACGATGGTCACTCGCACGGCAAGAAGAAGCGCGTCAAGGGTCTGTGGACGGTGAAGATCGAGCAGCAGCAGAATGCCGACGACGAAAGCCACTACGTCTGGCTTTACGAGGGCAGCCAGTGGAAGACGAAGCTGTATGCTCTGGGTGCCCTGGTTGCGGTCTTCGCGGTCGTGCTGTTCCCGCTGTGGCCGTTGTTCATGAGGCAGGGTGTGTGGTATCTGTCCATGGGCATGCTGGGCTTGATTGGTCTCTTCTTCGCCATGGCCATCTTCCGTTTGATTCTGTTCTGCATCACTGTCTTCATCACACCACCCGGTCTCTGGCTCTATCCCAACCTGTTCGAAGACGTGGGCTTCTTCGATTCGTTCCGTCCGTTCTGGGCATGGCAGGAGGTAAGCCTTATTTTCTCTCTAGCTTTCCGTATGCACATGTTCGAGCATCTACTAACAACTCATTGTTACAGACCGAAGAGGACAAGCGCCGCGTCAAGGAAAACAAGAAAGCCAAGAAACTGGCCCGCAAGCAAGCCAAATCCGAAAAGCATGCCCATCCAGCCGGTGCTCCCGCCCCTGCAGCTGCATTCGCTCCCGCTCCCCCCGCCGCCGCCGCGCCGCCGCAACCTGCCGCCACTGAAGAGGCAACTCCGGAGCCGCAAGCAGCAGAACAGCCGGTCGACGAGGCGCCTGCGGCGACGGGTGTCGCGCAGGCCGAGACGGGCGAGACGAGGCAGCGCATGCATGCGAGCGTCGAGGAGGCGGAGGAGGAGTAGTAGTAGTAGCAGCAGCAGCAGTTCATATGACGAGAATGACGGTGACGATGCCCTGTCGCGTGCGAGCGAAGCGTGCTGGAGCCGTTTGCAGCACGAAACAAAAGTAGGGAACGAGCGGCGTGACGTAACGTTACGTGACGTGATGAAAGAGACAGACGGGCAGGTACCCTTGAGCGGCTGGCCCTTTCTTGGAAGCGATTGTGTGTGTTGTGTTAGTAGCGTACGTACTGTAACTCCGGGACAGGCGGTTGGGGCTGAGGGGGGCTGAGGAGAGTACTTCGGCCTCGTTCTCCCCTGGCTGGCTGGCTTCTCTTTCTTCGTGGTGCGAGGGTTCTGGTCTGGTCTGGTCTCTGCTGGCTGGCTGGGTTGGGGGGTATGGAGTTAATTAAATGATTAGTTGCGCGTACATGATTTGGTCTTTAATTCTTCTTCGTATTTTGATAGTGCCTTTTTGTTGAAGTAAATGTTCATTCCATCTTGTGCTGATGTGTTTGCCTGCTCTCATTGCTTGAGGATGGGATCTGCGCTTTGTGAGGGGCCGTAGTAGCTGGATCTACGACGGCGTGTTGGAGACAAGACAGAACGGACATCGTGGTTGCGTTTGCCATTGGGCGTTGAGTGGGATTGCTTGGTCACGTATATTGCTTGTTTGTTTGCTTGCTTGCTTGTTGCTACGTGCTGCCTAGGGTATAGAAAAGGGGATGTTGTTGTGTAGGCATATGTTATTAACTCTCTACATGCGTACGAATGCATTCATAGACCATTGCGTGTGCGTGCGGGTATACCGGCTGAAGAAGCAATGACCTGGTCGTGTGTGTGCGTAATCTCCACCTAGGAATCAATAGCTTGTCGGTGGCGTGCTTGCGGTGGAGATTAGCTACTACAAGGACTGCGCGGCTGATGTAGGGGGAGAGAATGCGGGTAGGGTAAAGAATAGTGGGGGTGTATTTATATATCTACTTCTGGGGTCTAGCGTCGTAGAGGCGAAGCAGTGATTCTGCGGAAGTTTCAACAGTCCTACACTCACGCTCTTTGACCGAGGGCTTGGCAAAAGGGGAAGCGGCAAAGAATCTTATGTGTAGATATGATATGGACATGGAAGTTATAGATGACAAGAAAATCAGCATGATAAGCATAATCAGATGGTGATGTTTCTTTAGGTCAAGTTCAGTTCTTTTGCTGACGGCACTGCTACACATTTATGTAGTGGAAGAGGACACTGACAGCAGTGGAACCAGGGCACCGGTATCGTGCTCAGGCAGGGATGGCTGCGAATCACAGCACTTCTTTCTGCATTGGGCTTGCTTTGTTTGCCCGTCTCGGCAAAAGGGAAAGGCTTATGGTATGCTTGGCAGGTAAAGGGCGTCTCCACGTGCGGCACGTGGGGATCGGCTTGCAAGCTGCGACGGGTGTTTCGAGTTCTTTGAAGCAGCGCGAGTGTTGGAGAGAAGCGGGGCAAAGGCAATGATGGCATCACAGATTTGCGAGGGCCTGAGGCACCTACCTAGAACCTTACCCCCCTCCAGCTATTTTTGGGGGGCCCGGTGCGCGAGCTCCCTGGGTGCGCGGACCGATTCGGCAGCGCGCCCTCGTCATCGCCCACTCGCGCCCATCCATCCTCTCTCTCTCTCGCTCTGCCCAGTTTGCTGCTCCCACAGTTCCACTGCGCGCGCCTTCGTCAAAGGCACTACTCGCTCGCCACGCTGCCCACCCCCCCATCGCTGCCATCATTTATCCCTTGCTTTGTGCCATTACAACGCTTAGTCACAGCCCTGCCACCTGGCCCTCGGGCGCATCCGTATCCAAGTCCAGGCTTATCGAGCCCTCGTCAATTAGCCGCAGCCGCAGGGCCACCAGCCCCTAAGCAAAAGCCTCCGACCCGAGCGCGGCCTGCAACACGACGCGCTCTTCCCGTCGAAACGTCGATCTCGTCGCATCTGCTTCCTGGCGCCCGCATCACTTGATTTGGCGTCGCGATCGCTGCCTTTTGTCGCGCCGTTGCCTGTCTGATAGTGAGTGCGCGCGTGTCGTCGCACCACCGCTTGTCGTCGCCTTGCGCCATCTGACCCCGACCGCGATCGCACCCGTCATCTGGACCCTTCGCCTCCACCACCCGGCCCCGTCGCAACTCCCGGCAGGAGCGCATCAGCCTCGCGACTCATCGCCCTGCCCGTCCAGCCCCGGGGAACAAGGTCCATACAGACTATGGCGCTGGCCGCACCACCGGCAAACGATCGCAAGCGCGTCAAGGTCTACGAGCTCAAGAATGGCGACTGGTTCGATCGAGGCACCGGCTTCTGTACCGGCTCTATGGTGAATGTCTGCACATTCCCCTCCCAAGCTTCCCCCCCCCCCCCCCCCC